CAGGTTCTCCAACATTTTTTTCTCCAAAATTTGGATTTTCTGTTCCAATTTCTCTTTGATTTTTGGTTAATTCATTGCTACAGGTAAATTTATTGTTGGAACAAGAACAACAATGATTCTGTGAAGATTGACCAGTAGTCGTTAGTTTGTTTAGTAAAGGAGGGACTTGAGAATTATCAGGCTGTTGAAAATTACTTCTTTTTTGTTTAATATTAATGTCTTCTGAATTAAATTCTGAAATATCAGAATTTCTACAATGTTGCTGTGCTATACAAAAAAAATTAAAAAATCTTTCTTGTCCTTTGTTATTTTCGTAATTTAAATTTTTTTATTTAATATTTTTAATAGATATGTAAAACATACAATGTGCAATTTTATGTTCAATAAATTGATCAAACTCAGAAATTGGCCATTTATCCCCACAATTACTGCAAACAATTAAATCAACTTTTTTCTGTTCTACTTCTTCTTCTTCCTCTTCTTTACGCATTCTTTTTGCTGCTAAAGGGCGTTGTTCTGATAATAATTTTGTTGTTGCCGATTTTTCTGATATTTTTACAAATTTTGATGGTGTTGTTGTTGAAATGAGTTGAAATTGAGAGGAGGGTTGATTCTCTTCTTTTTCTTCATCTTCTTTATTTTCATCTTCATTTTCTTCCATGGGAAGAGGTTCTTCCAAAATCCGTTCTTCTACAAAAATTTTAAAATTTATAACAAGACTCAGGGAAAGCATCCAGGGATGCAAAAGACAATACTTGCCTGGAACACAAAATAAGGCCTGGGAGACAAAACAAGGCCTAGGATAAGGACAAGATATCTAGCCATTTATTAACCAATCCCTCACATCTCAAAAAATAATTATTTGATCACCTCGTAGACTTTGTCCATCCATTTCTGAAGGCTTCTTAAAATTTTCCTCATATTCTTTTACTTGATCCTCCTCCTTTTCCTCGACAACCTCTCTCTCAATATTTATTTCAATTTCACCATCTTTAATAATCATTCCTTCCCACTCTTTATCCTCGTCGTCCTTTTCTCGTTTTTTGTGTTCCTGTTCCGCTACACGTCCTGACCTTCTAGAAAAAGATAAACGCTTTCCTTCATCGTCTTCCCTTTTCTTTTCATCATCTTCACTTTCAATTTCTTCATGTTCTTCCTCTTCTTCTTCGTCTCCATCTTCACCAGCCGGCCGTTTCCGCGGTCTCCCACGGCGTTTTTTCAGCGGAATTATTAATTGCTTCTGTGCCTTACAATCGCCTGGCCTACGCAGCTGCCGCTCTCTGACGGTTGTTGAAGCACTTTAAAAATTAAATTCTCAATTTTACAAAAATCCTCAAAAATAATTCCTAAATGATACCTAACAGAAGCATGACTCGCATCACGATGTCGCCTAGGTGATACGTCATTAGATGAATTAGCCGCCGTCATGATTGTTGAAGCATTTCCCGCCATACTTGTTGTAACTGTACAAGGTTCTTCAACTACATTAGATTCAGAAATGCCACTGTCTGAAGATGCTAGAGGCATTCCATCTATTTTTTAAAGTTGATTTATATAAAGTGATTGATGTAAAAAGAGAATTAATGACACTAACTAAACGTATTAGGTTAACCCAGACATAACAATATCCATTTTCCCCTTGAACTTTTTGCAAATTTTAAAAAAATTCATAAAACTAGTAAATAATCATTTTTACCTCCACCTCCGTGCAGTCTATTTTTCAGAGGTTTTTGAATTTTTTGAGAATTAGCAACTTGTGTTGAACTTCCTTCATCTTCATTAAGTGCATCAATATTCTCATCCCGTTTCTTACGTCCTCTTTTTCTTGGCACAAGTAAAGGAGGGGGAAGGGTTGATAATGATGATTGATTTTGTTGTTGGTGTGTTTCAATGCTAGTCATCTGCTGGCGACTGCGTAAAGACAGACCCAGCGCAGCGGTACTTCCTTTAAATGAACGTGTTAACTGAAATGAAATTCCAAACTTGCCTAGTATTTGTTGTTGTTGACTATTAACTTCCTTAGAAGACAACTTTTTTGTTGGCGTAGTAGAAAATGGAGAGGATTTTCTAGTAGGAGTACAAGTTGAAGGAAGTATAACTGTTGAAGGCGTTTTTATTGACTCTAAGACACTTAAATTATTTGAATTTGTTGTTGTTGAAGTAGAAGAAGAATAAAGTCTTCTACGAGTTGTTGCTATTTTTAAATTTTTAGGAATATTGAATAAATTTCTTTTTTTGTTGAACCGAGGAAAAAATTAGTCAATCACCGGGAAATTAAAAAAGAGGGGCAGTTCTTTTTTACTTAATAATAAGGCGCTAAAATAAAATATATTTTTTATTTTACATATTATTACAAATATTCTTGCCTTTGGAAACCGTAAAATGTGAAACAGTAAAATAATAAAACTTTGTTGTTGATACTAGAGTGAAGAGAATATAATCAGAATAATTCTGCTTTTCACATGCGAAAAGACCAGAAGAAATGGAATCAGAACAACTAAAAAAATTAATTTTAGCTGAAATAAAAATCAGAATTGGTTGTTTAAGAATCAGAATTATTTTAAAGATTCTTAAAAAAATCAGAATTCCCTATTCGTAGATAAAAATCAGAATTACTAATTATAAGTTTGCAAAATGTCCAGAAAAAAAGATAAATCAGAATATACAGCTTAAATAATGCAGTTGCATATTTTTTATAATTAAATAAATCAGAATTGTAATTTTGTATTTTAAATAAAATATTCTTCAAAATAATTCCTTACATACAAGTAAGTAGACTCAAGCTGTGTAGCTAATTTATTTTATTCTGTTTTTCCAAATAAAAAGCTGGTCACTGGTCAGTTGTAAATTTGTTGCTAATTTTTATTATACAAAGAAAATGCGCAACATAATAAAAATCGGAAAGAAAAGTTTGTTGGTTGTTGTTGGAAGGCAAAGAGAGGTTGTCAAAGTTTTTTTTGATATTTAGATGTAAATTGAAGATTGTTGACTGCCCTGAAATTTTTTTAATAAAAATAATTTTTTTAAATTAGGGGTTTTTAACAAAGTTAACAAATATTGTCGGTAAATTATTTACTTATAAAACACAATATTTAAAAAATAAAAGAATATTTTTAAAAATTAAAAAAAATTATTACAAAAAACGTGGACTTTAGTAAATACATTACTAAAAAAATTTATTTTTTTTTAAATAAATTTTCTTAAAAAAATAAATACAATGAATAAAATCGCGTTTAGAAGGATACAACTTTTAAAGAAAAAAATTTTTTAAGGAAAAGGTGATTGCGTAAAAAAAAGAAAAAACGCATGGAGGTGTGTTTGTGAACCTGTTTAATAGAAAAAAAAGTAGAAAAAATAAGCGCGAACGCTGTTAGCGAGAACCAGTCGGTATATATTTAAAATGAGAAAAGGAGGTTATAACGAAATTAATAAAAAAAGTATGTACTACTAAATAGCAATTCAAACGACCAGTTGGGGCGGTTGGTTATGAGGCCATTGGGCACATTATTTTATTTTTATTTTTCCAACTGATATGAAAAAAAAATTAAATAGAAATAAAGTAATTCAATTACAAATACTCAAATGGTGGGGTGATTATGTTGAACGACCACTACATTTGAGGGCAACTAAAAAAGATTCTTCTCTATTTTTAGCCATAAATATTGGAAGAAAAGATAAAATGCATATAATAATACCTCTTCCAAGTACAAAAACAAAAAAAATTTTGCCTTTTTGGTTATTTGGTATGTTGTTGTTGTTGCTATTATATTTTCTGTCATACATTTCTATCAGCCAGCCGCTATTGCCAACCGCCTTAGGAGAGGAACATTGTTGGAAAGAGTGGTCAGAGAGAGAGATAAAACATGTTTAAAAGGCAATAAAAAATAGCGTTGAGAGGAAAAAATTGTTGAGGACGTCTAAGAGCTTGTGGCCAGCTTTTAAAAACGTTTTAGGCGATAATAGGTGAACATTTCAGGAAAGCACTTTTCTTAATAAAATGGTTTTTAAAGTCATAATAAATGAATAAAAAATTAATATTAATTACCGTATTCCCACTAATAAAGCCCCCCTCAATTAGTGCCCTATCCTCTTAATACATAAATCCCAAGTCTGAAGGATAGTTGAAAATACAGCCCTGTTAAGCAATATTGTAGGAAATACAGTCTCCACTTTTTGGACACGGCTGACAATAATAGCCGGGTCAGTTAACTTTTAATTTAAAAAATTTTTAAAGAAAAAATTTCCCCAAAAATTACATAAAAGAAGAGAAAAAATATGTATAATAAATGTGGGGATGAAAAAAGAAGAAAAGGCAGGTGTCCAAATTGTTTAAAGAGCCACCCAATTTAAATAATTATGGCCAAAAGGATTTTTAAGAGAGTAATGAAAATAAAGAATATTTTAATGATTGGAGAGGTAGAGGAAAGATGATAACCTTTATTTTTAAAAAGACAAAAGAAGTTGTAAAAAGGTGTACCCATAAGTACAAATTTTATATTTAAAAAATTGAAGCAAACAAGAAAAGAATTGAGAACGGAAAAATTGTCTCGGACGTTGGCCTGACTTAGAAAAATAGAAAATCCAAACTTCAAACTCGAAAAGATGGTATGGAGACATATCGGTTCGGATAAAGGTATCTGGATTGCTGTGAGAAAAATAACTGCTAATTTTACAAATAAAAGCACTTTACTTCGATAGGTCAATGAGACCCAGTGACAGTATGTATGTTCCAAGATCAGTAGGGTAACTGTTCGTGCATTGAAATATCCCGATATGTCCGCTCTGATATGACAGGCTTTCAAAAAAGCTTGACAAGTTATCTGGCAAGTTTTAAAGCAAATAAATAAATGAGGAAAATCAAAATTGAAACTCAACGAATAGCAACACAAAAATCTTTAAAGGCCATTTTTATTGGTGATTATGATTATTTCTTGAGGTGAAAATGTGCGTGAATCGATCGAGAAAAAAAATTTAAAAGGAAGAAAAATGAACACGAACAACTATTTGACGGACGGACATTTGGAAGGGACTGGACTAAGCAAAAAAAAGAAAAACGAAATAAGAAAATGAGGCGAAAAACGGAGAGAAAAGGAACGTGGGTAAATAACAATAAAAAAAGAGAATAAATAGGAAATAAGAAAAGGGGGGAGAGGCCATCTGACAACACTACAAACCAGTCGCCAACCGACGAGGACGACAGAGACGACGACTGGCCAGCAGCCGTTTTTGGCCATTTGAAAGAAAAAGAGGAAAGAGATAAAAAAAATAAAGAGAGAGAGAGAGAGAGATAAAAGAGGGTGAAGAGCAGCCAGTCAGTCGAACAGGCTGTCTTCAATGCTTGATGGAGAAAAGAGAAGAGAATTAGTGTATAGCTATGGGAATATATTTAATATGTGTGTGGGGGTATTGGACAGCAAAAAACTGGTTGTTTGTTGAGAGACGTGAAGAGAATAGCAATAAAATAATAGTAAAAAATAAAAGAGAGAGAGAGAAAGAAAAGAAAAAAATACAGCAATGGCCAAAGCTACCAACCAACCAGCCGGTCAAACTCTCCTCTAACTCACCCTAACATTTGCGTGGAAAAGGCTAAGAAAAGTTGTTGAGGTTAGAGAAAAAAAAAGAATAAAACTTAAATAGAGTCAAAAATTAAAAAAAATTTTCTTTTAAAAATTTTCTTCCTCGGAGCCTTCCACTGGCTAATGTGGAAGATTCCGAGGAAGACTCCTAAAGAATCGTTCCAAGAATATTTAGAAAGAAGTCTCAGTGAAACTCAAAAGGATTAAGTAAAAGATGTAAGAGAGTTAGAGATGTGTCCATGACAGTTGGTTGGAACGAATGGACCCGCGGACCTTCTCAAAGAACCTCTTTAAAAATTCACTATTTTTTAAATTTTCTAGTGAAAAGGGCAAAAAATAGAAAATGTTTGGTGGCTAAAAGGAAGAAAGAATGGGATTATTTTTTAGTTTACAAATCCCGTGACCTATATGTAGAAGAAAAATAGATGGTCTTTTGGAAAAAATATTGTCTTGGCCTGCATTTATAGTTAATATGTGGACATAATATGGGGGGAATGGGGGACATAAATTAATATGGGGACATACAATGGCAAAAATAAAAGTAAAGAAAAAGCACAATTGTGAAAGAGTTAAAAAAAAGGACGGGATGAGAATGGAATGGAACACACGGGAAAATGAAAGTATTGAAGAAAAAATGTGAAAATGAAAAAAAAATGAGAGAGAAAGAATATGCAAGTAAAAGAAGAAGGCCATTTGGTCACAAGGAGAGATCAGAGACCATTTATACAGCGACCAGCGCCAGCCGTTCGTTCGACCAAACAGCAGTCGATGGCCATTCGGAAATCGAATGAGAAAAGGAAAGGGCGAGAATTGTTTGCAAAAAAAAATCGAAAGATGGAAAAAAGTAGAAAAAGTATTTAAAAAGGAAATAGTAGAAACAAAAATAAATATTTACAAAATTAAAACGAAACAAACTATTTAGAAGCAGGTGAAAATAATTGAAACAAAAATTTTATTTTTCAATCACCTTCCAAAGGGGCATTCTAAACTCTGTTTCAAAAGTATAACCCACTTTATCTTTTGAGATTTTGTATTTTGATACATTTAACATATATTGATATTATAAATCAATAAAAAAATTATTATCGTGATCCTGGCACCCCGAAAACCCCGAAAACCTCGAAAATTAACGTAAAAGGGATAAGTCTCTTTAAAAAATATTTTCGAACCCTTATAGTTTGTTTTGAAATTTGATTTTTGATCTACTTGAAGGCCCTTGATATCATTAATTTTATTTTACAGAAAATATTCATTAGCGAGATACAGTTGATTAATTGTCAAAAGCGACTTTAACGGCCATTTTAAGAGGCATTTAGGCGTTTTCTGTTGCTTCGAAGGATTAACGTTTTGTATCTCACAATGAATTTTTTCTGAAGAATTAAGGCAAATGCTATCTTGCAGCAAATTTCAAGGGCTTCAGTAAGCCAAAAATAAAAATTTTAAACAAACTATAAGGGTTCAAAAATATTTTTTAAAGACCGCTCAATACTAATTGGTTCAACTGATATTTAGCAGATATACCCAAATAGTTAGAGGATAAAGTTCTCAAATTATCTATAAAATAGCATTGGTTCCAGTTATTTTAGCCTAGCTTTTTGAGGGAAAAAAGAAATCGGCTCACAGTCAGTCAACTTCGTCATTCTTTTTTGCTTTATTCATTCCACTCACCCCACCACCACCACCACCACCAACCTCCCACTCATGCTTGGCCAGCTCTTCAACGATCCCTTTTCTTTTTTATATTCTCTTTTTATATATTCCCTCTAAAAATTGCTTTAACCCTCTCAACTCTTCACGCGACTAGCGCCGTGGACCGACGTCCCTTTTGTTGAGTGACATTTGTATACATATACTAGGTGAAGTGAGGGACAATAAAAAAATGTAAAATAGTTAGAAGAATAGTTAGAATTTTCTTTATCTTATCATTTTGAATAGGGTTTTCAAAATGGACCGACTCGGTCTGAAAGTGGGAGACGGGCATAGGATATCTGGCCCGAAAGTGACTCGCAGGGCCTGTCCGGATAAAAGCCCGAAAAATGCCTGGAACGTCGGCCAGCTCGAAAACAGAACCTTAATTTTGAAGAGCTAAACATCTCCTTAAAGGAGATGTTTAGCCCCTTAATCTCCCCTATAAAGTTAACTCCATTTAAATTATGGTATTTCCCTTCTCTCCCTGCCTCATTTCTTCCATTTCCTTTTAATAAAACAAGTTTTATTATTATATGTATATGTACTAGTTGTGTCCAATTGTAAGTGAATTTTTAAAAAAATGAAGGAAATTTTTTTGGGAATAGTGAAGTAGATAATGGGACATAAAAAATGGAGAGGTTGTTGTTGTTGCTGTTTTTGGGGGGAGCACAAACAATGCGAATTTTTTTATTTTATTTTTTGATGGCTGGCCGGTTGTGTGTATGTTGCCCTGACAGACTGAATGGTCGGCTGATCCTTTCTTTACTTCGCCAATTTTTATAAAAAAATTTTCCTTATGTTCAAAAGGGAAATGGGGCATTTTAAGGGAGGGAAGGATTGCGCAATATTTTTTTTTGACAATTTGAAGAAGAAATGACAAAAAAGGGTAAAAGAAAATGGTCAAATAAATAATATAAAAAGAAAATTAAATGAGAATTAAAGGAGGAAAATTCGAAGAAAATTAGACTTGAAATGAAACAATTTGCAAATGGCTAGGGATCGGATTATTAGGTTATAAACTATATATTTTTTGAAATAGTTACGGCGTGAGAAGCTCAAATTATTTTTTGAATATTTTATATTTACAGGGGGTTTATGTTTACAACCTAATTTAGGTACATATTTATTTTAAGGTCTTTACAACCTAAAAATGCCGATTAGAGGTTTTAATTTAATATAAATTTTTGTTTGAGTGTTTGAAGAGGGTAGTCCAGCATGGCCATCATTACCTCAACCTTTTTTCTATCAATAATCGAATATTTCAGTCATTCAAAAATTGCCCATTTACTTTTTTTATTCTTTTTTACCTCTTTCCGATCCTCATCTTTCACTTGCTCCAACCAAAAAAAATTTTTTTTTCACGTTTCTCCTTTCAATCCGTGTGAGTGTTCACTTTCGCTTTTGTATAGAAAAATGATTGTGTAAAATGAAGAATTGCGCTGTCTCTATTTGTTGAGAACAAACAAAGGCGCAATACAACAAATAAGAAGGGAGGGGGAGGGGACGTTGGTTGAGAGAAAATACAGCCAGCCGGTTGACATATATTGAAGACGAACGGGAGTGGAGAGGAATAAATAGCCTTCGTCCTTACCGGAATCTCGTGACCATCTTTCTTTTTAAACTTTAAATAAAACAAAAATTGAAGAAAAGTTGAAGTTTGTAAAACAACTAAAAGGTTGAAGCAAGTTGAGGATTTGAAAAAGTTGATTAAAAGAGACTTTAAAGGCGAATTGATGGAATAATAAACAGAAGGAAAAAAGTCGTGCTCAAGATTTTCTGTTTTGTGCTACTTTCGGCTATTTTTAGAGTTAAATGTTTTTGTTTAAAAAAAACAAAAATAGAAACAAAGGTAAAATTGATATGTGAGTAAAAAAGCAACAAAGGGCTACAATTTTGTTAATTAAGCAAAAGAGAGAGATTAAAATAAAAAACAAATTTGAACCTAAAAAAAGATAAATAAATAAAAAACGAAGATGAAGTGAACTTAAAAAATATTAATTAGTTTGAAGTGTCATAAAAAGTTTTAAATGAAAATTTTGGCAGAAAAGGAACAAAAAAGATTTCCGGAAAGTTATTTGTAAGTAGAGATGTTGTCTCAGAAGCATAATTTCCAGTAAAAACTTTCCAGTAAAAAATAAATAGGCTAACGGAAAATGATATTTTTGAGCAGTAATTTTTAATAATATTTAATATTATTTATATCAAAATGTCCGAACATGCTTTTAAAGAAAGAAGGAATATATAAAAGTGAAAGGAAAAAAGAAAAAGAAAGAAGAAGAATGCGAGATTGGTGGCCGAGATTGGCCATGAGTAAACAAACAGAAAAAAGAGAGAATACCTACAAACATTAAAAGACTTAATCATAAAAAAATGAGCAAGCAACAAAAAGCCCCCTTCCCCCCCCCCCTCTCCCCAAAAACATTTTTAGAAATAAAACAAATCAACCAACCAACCAAACAACAAAAATAAGAAGAAAAAATATTCTTTTTCTTATTGTGAACTGTCTTCAATTTTCCTTTACCCTAACCAACGGACACTTGGCCAAATGATATAGGCGTTCTTATATTATTTTAAGTATTTTTATATATGACAGCCGGTAAAAGAAAAATCTTTTTTAAATATTTTTCTTGGTGTTCTTTTTATTTTTCTGGAGCTTTTTTGATTAAAATTTTATAGAAAAAAGTTGAAGCAAAATACCAAAAAAATCCCTAAAAAATAGGACAAATAAATAGCTAAAAAAGCTTCAAATATATATAAAAGGTTGATTATAAATAAAAGGACCAAAGGATGGCCAAAAAGTTAGCACAAAAGTCCTTCCCTCCCATTTAAGGTGTGGACAAAAAAAATTAAGAAAAAAAATTAAGCAACACAACAGGTTTTTGATAAGAAGATTCTCTCTCTACCTTTTGTAGACGAAAATTAAAAGAGATGAAAAATAAAAGAATAAACTGGTTGTTACATATAAAAATAAAAATTGTTGCGCGATTGTGTAGGTGCAATTACGCTTCTAGCAGTAATCGTCCTAACCCTCAATGACCAAATGATGGCTGCTCTGGTTAAATAAAAAATTGGGACATCAAATTAAATGGAAATTGGCAAGGAAATAAATAAATAAATTTTATATAAAAATGATTTTCCAGAAAATTAAAGAAACAATTCCACAGAAATATTTAGGAAGGTATAAAAATGATTTTCCGGGAAATATTTCAAAAGTTTATTTTAAGCAGAAAATAAACATATTTTTGGTGGACACGTAGATGGACAATTATAAACCTAAAAAAATATTTTAAAAAATAGTACATACTACTATTTGTGTACTCGTTATTTTGTTTACTACATTTACGTGTTTTTGCTTGCCTTATGGACACATTATTATTATTATTAGCCACACAGCTGCGGCTGTCCCTAGCAATGACTGGAGATGTAAGTAAATGGGAAAATGTATAAAAAAAAAGAGAGAATGGAATGGACCACGCTTTTCCGTTTTTTTTTTATTTTGCCAACACTGGACATTTGTAGGGAAGGGGAGGGGGCCAGACAGAATATAAAAAAATTTCAAATAAAGGCATTCGAGAAAAGTAGGAGGCAACAAAAATAAAATTTATAAAGATAAATGTACGAAGATATTTAAAAATAAAAGAAATAATAAGTATTATAAGTAGAATAATAAAATCAGAATTAAAAGTTTATTGAAACCCCTAAAAATTTTAAATTAAAATTCTGATTAAAATTTTAAAATCAGAAAAGTAATAAACTTGACTTTTTAATCAGAAAGGGAATGAATGAACTGACTTTTTACTTGAAATAAAAAGTCAGAATATCGTCAAATAATAAAAATCAAAATTTTCTAAAGAAAATAATTCTGAAAATTAAAATCTTGATTTAAACAATGTTATTGTAAGTACAGTCGTGGAAAAAAGTATGGAAGCGCTAGAAAATTTTTTCTTAATTCTTAATTTTTCATTCAAAAAATACGTTCTATATACCAATCGAAAGCTCTATTCGTATCTCAGTTGACATGTTTCTGCATTTTTCATGAAAATGAAAACTGGCCGAGATATTTTTCGGAACAAATTTAACAAACCCAAATGATAAAGCATATTTTTCTGAGTATTTTCCACAAAACCGCTTAAAAATATCTTTTTCCGGAGCAGAGATATGATTTTTTGAAAATGGCATTTTTCGTCTATTTTTGCAAAAAATTCAATTTTTAAGCGAAAAATGCCATTTTCAAAAAATCATATCTCTGCTCCGGAAAAAGATATTTCTAAGCGGTTTTGTGGAAAATACTCAAAAAAATATGCTTTATCATTTGGGTTTGTTAAATTTGTTCCGAAAAATTTTTCCGAAAAAGTGGGATTTGGTATATCCGGTAGATCCGGATTATCTCGGCCAGTTTTCATTTTCATGAAAAATGCAGAAACATGTCAACTGAGATACGAATAGAGCTTTCGATTGGTATATAGAACGTATTTTTTGAATGAAAAATTAAGAATTAAGAAAAAATTTTCTAGCGATTCCATACTTTTTTCCACGACTGTATGTATAATGTAGAAATATGTATAAATATGATTATACTCAATTAGATGCTCGAAGTTTTTAGTTAAAAATAAAAAAATAAAGTGTGTGACAAATGTTGTTTTTGTGAAATATTCCTCCCCATTTTAGTTTATTTTTTTTTACTTTTTTTAGTTTCTTTTTAGTTTATTGAGTGACCAACAGAGCAACTAAAAAATGTTAAGCAAGGAAATAATAGCCAACGTCCACACATTTTTTAATCATCCGACTGGCCAGAAAAGAGAAGAGAGGACTTGTTTAGTAGATGGATGGCCATTCGTTTGTACGATTGCAAAAGAAGAGAAAAAATAGAAAATGGCCCAGAAAGGGCCAGACGCTAAAAAATAAAAAAAAGGGGGGGGGAGGGAGGGGGGTAGGGGTAGTATACAAACTGGACGCTGCTCCAACGTTTTTTACGAAGCAATAGAAGACAAGAATAAATGAAAAACAAAAAGTGGATGCGGGAAAAAACAAAAAAAAGAGCTAAAAATAAATAAAAATAAAGTAAAAAAGAGTAGATATCTTGTAAATTTTGTATGTTAAATATTATGATAAAAAATTATTTTGATTATATACAAAAATAGAAATAATAAAAAAAAACTGTCCAGAGAATTTAAGGGATTAAACAATAAAAATAAATAAATAAAAATAAACGAAAGTAATGTGTGTATTTTTTGTATTTTTTGTAGACAAAAAGATGAAAATAATAATAGTAAAAATCAGACAATAAACAAACAGACAAAAAGCAAAAAAAAACGACTAATTGTAGTAAGTAGGTGCGCACGGAAAAAAAGGCCAGAAAATTTGTAAAGGGGTAAGGGAGAGGGGCTATATAAAAAGTAATAAATAAATAAATACATTTACGTGAAAGTAAAAAATAAAAGAAAAGTTTGGGGGTAGGGGAAAGTTGAAAGAAAGAAAAAATTGTTTGGAAGGGGCTATAAGGCTTAGATAAACAAACAAACATTTTAGTATACTTGAAAAAGAATATAAATAAAAGAATAGCCCATGTCTGGACAATTGTGTTTGGATAAGGTAGATAATAGTAGATTAACATCAGTAGATTAACATTTTTAACAGTGATTACTCGGGATTGGATAGAAGTGTAGAAACCGATAGCTCGAGAAAATCTCAATTCTCAAAAAATCTGGGAACCTAAAAATTTTGTCGTACGAGGAAAAATATCCGAGATTTTTGAATAAGTTATGATTTTTTTTTCAAAAAAACAATATACCGTAAATGCTGAAATAATGTCCCTCTCTCAAATAGTTACTTCTCCCCCCCCCTTCAGCCAGAGGTCGAAAAATAATTACCCCCTTAAAATAGTTATAATTAGTCTTTCTATAAAAAGCTTAAATAATTACCCCTGCCCTATTAATTACTCCCTCCAGCAGGAGGTTGAAACAATAATACCCTGAATAATTATTTTAGCAACTAAGGTAGAATGACAAATAGTGAAAAAATTCAACTAAAAAATTTAAAAAATAATTTTCAAAAAAGAAAATATTTCCCCAAAATAATACTTGGCTATAAATTCTAAGCCAGCTGGTTTGTTCGTAAAAACAACAAAACAAAAATAAAAAGAAACAACAACAACATTATAAAAATACTAGACGGCCATCCGACAAATATTTTATTTATTTTTTTGCAAAAATAAAAAGAAAAAAAAAATATAAAAAAGCAGCCCCCCTCCCCTCCTATATTTTCTATTCACGTCCGCTGTCCAGACAAACTAATTATATAGTATAGAGCTAGCTATCCTCTTTAGCTATCTCCTCTCTCATGGCCAACAGTGCCCATCAAAACACTGTTGCCCTAGGCTGGGGATTAGAGGAACTTTGAGATAAAAACTAAGGAGAAAAGAGAGAGATGAGAAGGACAGGAACGGAAAAATATATGTACATTCTCGAGGCTTTAAAAATATTCCATTAAATAAAAAAATTACAAAATGATCGATTAATAAAACGTATAAAATAACGGCTGTCCAGAGGGTATAAAATATCACGCCAGACAAAATGTAAAAAATGGAAGGATGTTCGTCTGGGTGGCCAAGAATGATGGAAAAGAAAATTTGTTAAAGTTTTGGAATTTTTAAATATACCTGTAAATGTTCTGATAGAAGCTCTGGGGGGTTTGTTCTTTAATGGATATCATTGAGTGGGCTTTTAATAGGGCATGAGTTTCTAATGGAGCCGGCCGGGCTTCTTTTAGAATATTTACGGTAAGTTATTTGGAGAAGTTTTAGGTTTTAGTTGATATGTATGTATACATATATTTATTGCTGACCACTGTCAATAAAAAAGGGGATAAATTAATTTATGAAAAGAAAAAATAGAGAGAAAAAATAAATGTGAATGAAGGTCGTTGGCGATAAATGGACATTGGGCGAAGAGTTGGAAAAGAAAAGCTGATCCGGCTGGACAAAATATGCATGAAAAAATGGGTAGAAAAAATATTTTGGAGAAAAGAGAAGAGAAAGAATGACCATCGAGTCATGCTCTACCAGCCGACACGCAATAATTGAAAAATAAAAAGTATAAAGATATTTTTGAGTGACCATCATACATATAAGGTAAATGAATAAAAGGGGTAGGAAAAAAATATTAATAGAATTAAGTAAAAAATAATTAGACCAAATTCAACTTCACTACCACGGCACACTCTCGCTGGTAGTAACAAAATAGGGTAGCTACGGATAAAAATCCTTAGCATTGTAAGATATTTAGAGGTTCCATCTTTTGTAAAATTCTCATTGACAAACTATCTAAATCGTAATCTGTTCCACAAAATTCGAAAACCTGAGTAAAATTTCAAAATAAATCCTGGTTATCATTATTATTCTCATTAATTATTATTCTACCAGGAAATTCCAAAAGTTCTAGGATAAATATATTTATTTTCACTTTATTATTAAGTAATTTGTATTATTTTTTATTCCAAGTGCCGAGCACTTATGAAAAATGCGTATTCCCTTTGCGGACAGGTAGGGGGGGGGGGAACCAAACGGACATTTACCCTTGTTAATCTCTTCCAGCATTTATTTATTTACTCTAAGCTTTTCCTCATTAAAAGCTTGAAAACTGAGAAACTTACTCCAAACATTTTTTTCTATTTTGCGCGCTTTCGGGAGAGAACTTTTTGATTTCACACACAAAGTCGTCGTCCAAGCAGCTGGCATCCATTTAATTCATCCCTGGGGCACTTAATGGCTCTAGTACAAGTGTAAAAAGCTAACATTTTAAGGATTGCCTAAGCATTAAAAATATTTTTATTTTTAAAGAAATTGATAAAATTTAATTAAAAAAAACAAACAAATTTATGGGAGAATAAATGATACTAAATCGAGAGTTCAACAATATTAGGCCAAAAAATAACAAAAGATATAGTAAATTCTCTACAATAATCAGAACAAAAACTACGAAAAAATTTATTATTAAAAATAGAGGTAAGTGAAATTTGCATTTAACGGGAAAATCAGAATAGATACCGGCTGGAGTTGGTGGCTGCTTTAGTGTAGTCCCTCAACAGATGACACGCCCCTAGAAGGCAATCGGGTCTAGCTTTGCTTGTAAATCCCGAGACATCAAGGTATTGACATAAATACTTTAAACCCCCCTCTCCCCTCCTCTACATATAACTTCATAAATAGCCTTTGTGATTAATCTAATTACAATAATATTTTTCAGTAGAATTTCTACAAAGACGCCATCAACTTGTAAGATGCTATCTGCCATTCTTCTTGCTTGCTGCTCTTTTAATTTCTGCACTGATTTTCATATTGACAATATTTGAGGATTCTGACAGCGATTACAAGCCAAAAAATCTAAGGAGAAGTAGGGAGGTTAATACAGAAATGTTGAATAGAAACAATGGATGTTTATTAGGTGATTTAGCTAATAAAATTTCTAAATAACCTTTTAATCACTATAAATCCCTCCACAGGGACTATATCGAGGTAAATAGAAAGGTGACTGAACCACTCGGACCGAAATGAACTGCTCCGTGAGCCAAAACATTCCTCCTTATTGTGAGACATTCCTCCACATTATTTCCAATTTTCATTTTTCATTTTCAATCATTTAACCCCTAAAAATATAAAAAAGAAAGATAATAGCTAGGAAAAGTAGATAGGGAAATCCCTACGTCAAATCTTAAGTTTATTAAAACATTTTTAACATTCATTAACTTAGTGGGCCGAATTAATGGATTTTATACTGCGGGACGAATTGTGGGTGGGGAGGGGAGAATCTCGGGTTTTTGTTTAGGGGGATGAATTTAGGGGCGGGCGAGTCTTTGGTGGGATGAATTATGGGCGCGCTCAGAAAACTTTCTCATCACGTTTAAGGAAATCGAAGCAAACCAGAACAGAACCCTTTCCCAGCGGATTTGTTTACACTACAACAACGAAGACGTGGAGCTGTTGCTCTACACTTTTTTGGGCTAATATACATGTTTATAGCTTTGGCAATTGTTTGTGATGAGTTTTTTGTGCCTTCTTTAGGTGTAATTACTGAAATGGTAGGTTCTTTGGCTGTAGTGTGAAAAAAAAACCTTTTAAAATCTTTAAAACATTTACCGGTGGTAAAAGTTTTGGATAAGACATATGTAATTCTATACGACATGACGAGCTTAGTCGAATGACATCAAAATCAGCTGGATTGGATAAGTTTGGACAAAGTTATGACCGTCTGTTTTAGCTCCTTACCTATGGGTGTTTTTGCTGCTTTGGAGAAATCCAGGCATGTCCACAGCAGCGATAATACGACCGTTGACTCTCCACTAGTCGCGGCACGCGCCTCGCCGATTCCCATAGGTTTATGTTGTTTGTTTTTTGTATCGTAAATTTATCCAAACATGTGCAATCGAGCTGATTTTAGTGTCATTCGACTCAGATATTCGAGACAAATCGAATAACTTATGTCTTGTCCACAACTTTTACCACGGCTCTTTAAAGATTAGCTAACAAATTTTCGTAACAAATTGTTTTAGCTTGAAATTAGTGACGATGTTGCTGGAGCTACATTCATGGCAGCTGGCGGTTCTGCACCCGAATTTGTTTGCTTTTAAGCTTTACGTGATCAGCCCAAAAGACAACTTAATATTTTTCTATAGAATAGGATGTGCTTTATTTTTTAATATGATTTTCAAAAAAATGAATTTTTATACAACTTGACATATAGGATGCCTCTTTTTAAATCTTCACTGTGTTTTGATAATACATATAGAGAAGAAGTTTCTCTAATTATAGTTTTTATTTTTATTTTAAAATTTTAAAAAGTTAGTAAATACATTATAAAACAGGCATTTATGTACTACATATATACATAATACTATGTTCAATCGTGTTATAAAATTTTTAAAGACACCTAGACGAAAAATTAAGAAAATATTTATTTTCAAAAATGCTTTTTTTAGAAATTTTATCAAAAAATTAAAGCACATCCTATTTTATTAAAAAATAATTTAATTTAAAATTTTTTGCCTAATTTGGATTTTTAAAGATTCAGAAAATAATTTTTATGTAAAGTGGCTATATTTTATATAAAATAAATCTATCCTTACCAATTTACACATAACCACTCTTTGTTTAACAGTTTACTTCACTCTTTGGTGTATTCATAACAGAAAACAATGTTGGGGTTGGCACAATTGTTGGAAGTGCGACATTCAACATCCTTTGCGTTCTCTCCTTTTGCACACTTTTTTCAAGGAATGTTCTTTGCCTGACTTGGTGGCCGCTTTATCGGTATTTTTAGTTAAAAATCAGCTAAAATTCATTCAAACAATTTTTAGCGATGTTACTTTTTACGGAGTTGCTATTCTTTGTTTAAGTTTTTTCTTCATGGATGAACGTATTTATTGGACAGAAGCTTTGGCGATGTTTGCATTTTATATAATTTATGCAATTTTTATGAAATACAATTCAACGATAGAACGTTGGGTTAAAGGAAGATTAGGCTATATATGTGGACTGAATAGAGATAAAATGGTATTTTAAATTAACTTTGCATTTTGGATGTCCTGAACCCCTCCCCGACCCTTTACCCCAACCTAACTTCCCTTCCTTTCCCTAGCAATTCCCTAGCAATCCCAAATCCAGAAAAATTTCCCTTACACCAGCCCGACCCAATGTATCCAAATTTATCTCATTATTTAGACAACAGATGGACTAGCACCAAATATCAAAGTTAATGAAGGAGGAGATAATATTGTAACAACCTCTACCCCTTCTGATTTTTCAAAAAATAATTTCAACGAACAAACACCACAAATTCAAAATGTTTATGGTGTTGAACTAAATGTAAGAAGGCCTCTGCTTCATGCAGGTGCTAATTTTCCAGAAATTTATCCCGGAATTTTGCAGGTTTTTAAAATTCTTCTAAGTCATTTGATTCATTTTTTAGTTGGCTATGGATCCAAATAAGCTTTTAAAGGACATTGGGACAAAATCAACAGTATTTTCAGGTATTTTAAATAACTTGATTTTTCTGAAAATATTTTTCAGATTTTTATTTTTTGGGTAGCCAACTTTTTAGTTCCGTATCAGGGGTGTGCCAGTTTTGCGGATTTTCACCTTTTTAGTGTTTCACCTTTCGCTTTTTAAAATCTGTTTTGGCACACCCCTGTCCCGTATATTATTATACATAAATATTACTCTTTTTGAGTTTTCTTCCACCCTTCTTCCACCTGACATGTTCTTTTTTCTTCCTTTTCCTGCTTTCTAAAAATAATCCTTCAAAAAATACCTGCTTTGCAACATTTAATGTTTAATCTTTAAATCTAAAACGAACAACTGCTTTATAGACATAATTAATTTAATCTACAATCCTTATCCACTTTTTCGATCTTTACATATTTTATGCTTTTTGCAAAATAAAAACTTTTATTTTCTTTACACTTTTCTCTCTTCTTCCACTTCCCCTCCAATTTTTTCCACATATAAATTATTCCTTTTAAATTATACTTAACATTTTTTCCATCCTTCATTGTTGTAATATGTACATTTATTTATTTATTTTTTTACACATTTCTCAGTCTAAATCAGATATTTCTATAAACAAATGGCTAAAACTACATTGCCTTTGTAGAAACAAAAAAGTTGAATAATCATCTCCTACCTCCCCCCTCCTTCCTTCCCCTTCTCTTCTTTCTTCTTTTCATTTTAGAGCCCCTCCCTATTTCTTCAATTGCCAGAATAAATTTATTTAAAAAGGAAGGAGAAAATTAATCCACTCTTATTTACTCCTGTAAGAAATAATTAAAATTATGTTTTTAATATAAATTTCTTTGTCCATTTCTTTACATATTAATGATTTCTTCCATATATCCTTAAATAATTTTAAATAAATTTTTTGTTGTAATTTGTTCTTCTTTTATAAAATCATTTCTCCTCTTCTTCATAAATAATTTTTAGAAAAACTTAAAATTTTTATTTGGCATTTCCCCTATAACCGCGAACTACATTAATAAAATTTTACGGAACTACATTAATAACCAAGGCGAGGAGATTTTTAGGCAAAAGTTTTTTTCTTTGGCCAGGGAAAAAGAGTAGATTAACCAAAACTTTTCTTGAAATACTTTTAATAGGACTACCGTATTTTCTCGCTTAATTCCCCTTAAAATTAATATTTTTAGCAGTCCCTGGGTTGGGGAATTATTTGAAGTTTGAACGTGTAATAGAGAGCACTTGGAGGAGGGGAATTATTGTTTCAACCTGGGGAGTTGATCGATAGTTGGGAATTATTCGAGGGAGGGGGGGGGGGAATTAATCGAGAAAATACGGTAGTTAACTAAAATTAAAAAACTCATGATTGATCAAAAAAAAAGTTAAATAAACACGGTCAGATTCAACGCGGATTATACGGAAGCGAGAGTCAGCCGACCATATAATTGCATTATCCAGACGGAATGCTGCATCAACTGCTAGAGGGCACAATAAAGGTCGAAGGAGTAGTAGACGACTTGACAAAACTTGTTCTCTTCCTTCCTTTGCTTATGCTCTTTCATCAACTGCAATAAAAAATGAAAATATTAAAACTATTTTGGTTTCACCAGCCAATACAGGAAATAATGGAATATTGCTTAATAATAAAGGTTATTAATGTTTTCAAACTATTTACAGTCGAATCTCAATTTTAGACATAAAATTAGGTATACCTCAATTTCAGTTATGGTTAAAAAGCGAACTATGAAACACCAAAAAGGCGAAATTTGGGGATTTAAGTTCCCCTTTAAGCTAGGATTACCTAATACATAAGGTATAAATGGTTCGGCTCAATTTATGTTATTTGTTTATTTATTAAACTATTTGTAGCTACAGGAATTACCAATGGTCTTCCACCTGTAAATTTGGTTCCGTCGAACAAAAATTTGTCAATGGGGGTAAGTAGCCGAAATTATTATTTGTTGAATTATTGTATTTTTAGGACAATACAAAATTTGATAAATACAAAAAATACATTAAAAACATTTAAGGGAGCCTCTTCTCACCTTCCTCCGGTAGAAGAAGATTATAATAAAAATGATGCAGATTACCAAAAACATGAATTTAATTGTGAAAATAGCAATGACGATAGTAACGGAAACGGTATATCCTCCCCTGAAGTTATTATAGAAGGTGGGGTCATTGAAGTAAACAATGAAGAAAAAGTAGGTGAGGAAGAAGAACAACAAGAATCTGTAGACCTTTCTTGGCCAAAAACTTTTTATAAAAGATGTGTTTTTCTTTTTCTTGCACCAATAATGTTTCCATTAGCTTATACTCTTCCGGATGTGAAAAGAGAGGTTTGTATTAATTTTGAGATGAATATTTTTTTTACTCGTACTTGAGAAAAAATCAAAAAATCTAAAAGTTCTATGATTTTTTTGAGTCCAGGACATCTAGTTTTAAATCTTAAGCGTTTATGCGATAATTTTTGAATCTTGGAAGGCTTTGAAACCATAAATCCTCCAATATAATTCATTTTCTGCGCCGCAGGCAAAATTTTTGAGCATTTTGGAGTGCATGGAGTAATATTTCCTCCAAGATGGGTCGGGTATTTTTTCATCCGTTTTTCATTCTCTTCCATGGAACGTTATACATTTTTATACATTTTTTTACACAGTTTTATCTCCTGATATCGCTCTTAATCTCTATTCCCTTTCAGCGCCGCAGGCGAAAATTTTGAGAATATTGAGGCCCTTAAGCCAGATTTCTTCCATTTTTCAGCGCCGCAGGCGAAAATTTCAGAAGGCCGTAGGCGAAAAAATTCACTTTTTAGTGTTCAAAGTAAAATATTTTAAGAATTTTAGAGGGTCAAAATCTCATAATTACTCCATGTAAAAATAGAATAATTTTTAAAATAAAATTAAACTTATAAAATAAGTTATTTATGAAAAAAAATATTAAAATTCCCTGTCCAGTGAATAGGAATCGAACTTGATAATAAATCATCACAGACTTTGGCGCAGCCAAGCACCTTCACCACTCGGCCACTCGCTCATATAATGACGAATGAAAGGAATCAAATATATTTCTTTAATTTTCCTATTAACACCAAGTACGAGAAGTACGAGCTCGTACTTAGGCCTCGTACCTTGTACTTTTCACTTTTTTTGGCCTCGTACTTCGTACATGCCCCATTTTTTTGCTCGTACTCGTACTTCGTACCAGGTACGAGTACGAATTTTGGTACGAGCTTCGAATCACTGATTAAGAGTAATATCAGGGGATGTCAAAGGACTAGGAAACTAAAAGAAGTTGAGGAGGATATCATGAGATTGAGAGACTTAACTTATCAGAGAGATTAAGTGGACCCCCGAAATCACCTAAAAATTACTGATATCTCCTTAATACTCCTAAATTCTCGATATCTCTAAAAAAATTAAGCGCCGCAATGAGTTTTGTAAAGACAATTCCAAATTGCGTCGCAGGCGAAAGTTTTGAGAATTTTGGCTGGTTGTAGCAAAAAATTCAATTTTTAGCACCGCAGATCAAAATTCCCCTTTTTCAGGATCGGAAAAAATATGCTGCATTTACTTTTGTTGGCTCTGGTATGAAAAATATTTTAAAAATTATCTTCGTTAAATTTTTAAAGTCATTTGGATAGCACTGTTTACTTATTTAATGGTTTGGTGGGCTTCTATAGTGGGATTGACTTTAGGTATTCCAACAGAAGTTATTGGATTAACAGCTTTAGCTGCTGGAACATCAATTCCTGATTTAATTACTAGGTTTAATTTTGAATTAAATTGGGGTACTATTCGATTATCTCCCCCCCCCCCCCCTCCTTTTCCTTTTCTTCTGCTTCCTACTTTTCTCCTTTCTCCTGAAAATTACAAAATGACCAACTTCTCCATCATCAGCTTCTCCAATTAAAACCAATGCCAATCTTGGTTGTGAGTAGTACCATTACTTCTATTTGCAAAAGGTTTACTGTATACTGGGAAGGTTCTAAAGAGCTGGAACTTAATAGATTTTATTAACCATTAATTGTATCTTATCATCTTTTAGTCGAGAAAAAGAAAAAAGCAGAAAAAAAAATGAAGTTAAATAATCGGATAGTACTTTAAATTAAAAAAAAATTTTTTAAGTGTAATTGTATCGAGAAAAGGTTTGGGTGATATGGCTGTCTCAAGCTCTATTGGTTCAAATCTTTTTGATATTTGTGTGGGTCTTCCTATTCCTTGGTTGTTGCATTTTTCACTGTCCGTTGCAAAGAAAGGGATAAAAGGGACGGATTTTATTTCCGTTGGATCAAACGGTTAAAAATTAAATAAAAAATTATTTTTTATACTCTCGTAACTAGGGATACAAAATATGCATTTGCATATTTTGTATGAGAAGCCCAAAAATGGTGTTTTTACGTCAAGGTAATTCGGTTTTTAATGTTCTTCGGTATTTTTCTCTTCATATTTTTACCGGAGTCAACCCTGAAGAACTACAACTTTTCAAAGAAAATCGAAAGGGATTTGGAGGAATTAAGGTGACATCGATAGATTTGGTGTGAAGGGGACAGAGATCTCTACTCACCCAGAGTTACGGTACACTCAATACCGGACCATAGGTTTTAGAAACAGAACTGTGTATTTATCTCCATAGAGCTGAGTATTTATCCCCCTTAATCCTTCGATATTCGCCTTTCAAAAGTTGTAACTCTTCAGAGTCAGTAAGTCTTCTAGGCCGGACTCAATAACCTACCAAATGAATTGAAAAATCGGTTCTTTGGTTTAAAACGACAAATCTTAGGCATAATTTTTTCATAACATTTTTTAAAGGATTGCTTTGTTCTATTGGAATTTTATTTCTTATGCTTATCGTTTTGATAGTTTCTGTGGTAAATTTAAAAAATAAAAAAATATTTTTAAATTAAATTTAAAAAGGCAATAACACGTTGGAAAATGAGTAAACTTTTTGGGGCAATAATGTTGCTTGCCTATGTCTTTTTTTGTGTTTTTAGTGTTTTAATGGAGAAAAGCTTAATTATTTGTCCATTAAATGGAATTATTACAAAACAATGTATTAATAGAGGATAATAATATTTTGTTAACTAATAGAGAAATTTTTTTAATGTTACATATATGTATATTTTTTATAAATTTATTTATTTAAGTATTTTTAAAAGTATTTTTAGTATTATTACCTAAATATTTTGTTAAATTATTTAACAATATTTTTAGCGGGTGTATTTAATCCTTTGCGGATCCGAAATTTGTCAATCGAATGCCTGCTTTGATTGACTATAACTTTTTAAGCCTTGATTAAATCCAGGTAAAACATATGATGCGATAGCACTCAATAAGCTGTTTCTTTTTTTCCTATTGGATGGATCAAGTCTGATCACTCATTAAAAAGATCACTCATTCTTTGTCGAATCATTGTCGAATCCAAAAATTAGACTGGCAAAGTACGGGTTCGCACCTTTCGTCCGTAAATTACGAGTCCGCAAAGTTCGCCACAACTAGCACCAAGGGTGAGCGCATTGCGTTAAATTCTGGTCTGGCGTCTTTTGAGATTGTTTCTTGCGCTCACCCCTGACTAGCACCTTTAAAGTTTTACCGTACAATTTTTGGCATTTTGTTTATTACTAGAAAGAAAGACGAGAAATAGAGACAATTTTTACTACATATTTTTTTCTAAAAACTTTTTTTTCCTAAACTCTAATCTTTGGAAAACAAAAAAAACTCTAATCTTTAATTTATTTCCAGATATATTATTTTTTGTTTATTATTTATTCAAAATTATATAAATGGCAGTAGATGTTAATTCAGCTTTGAATAGAGCATATGAGGAACTGAGAAATATTGACTTGGATTTGTCAACATTATCAGGGGTCCAGGATCGGTTAGTTTATTTGGAAATGTTTTTCTATATTTTGTTTTCAAATTTTCTTAGGTTCAGCACTAGGAAGCGAAGTGCTAACGATTCTGGAAATGTTACAAATGCATCAAATGATCGGTATTTTGACTTAATACATATCTCTTTAAATTTATTTATTTTAGTCGAATTCTTGATGGTGGCCGAAGAATAATTGTCGGGCCAGAGGGCAGGTTTGTTTGTTTTTTAGTTTCTCTATGTAATGGGGTAATCAAGTTTTGTTAAATTCCTTGACTTTCACAATGAAAAAATGGTCAGACTTCTAATTGTTACAAACCCTACTCTTTTTAGTGCAAAGCGTTCTCGTCATGATGATGATCCTTGGAATGAACAGCATCAACACAATCGCTACCCACAACGTGATTATTCCCCTCCTTCTTTACGTCCTCAACGTACTTTGTCTAGTGTTATAATGTCGTCGACAAGTGGAGCGTTTACAATTGAGACCAAGTCGCGGACTGCTGTTATCACCGAGAAGAAGAAAAGTGAAACGAAAGAGGATGCTGTCCGGTTTGATTTTTATAGGGGTTTTTAATCCTTAAATATTTTTTTAAGAAACCGACGTCTTTTTTCCAATCTTTTGGTAGGTACTTTACGACAATTTCAGAAGGAAGAAAAGACTGTTGGGGTTAAAGGACAGGCACAGGTTTTTATTTTCTGATTTCTATCCCTTAGAAGATTGATCTCATTTTTAGCTTGAAAAGCAGAGAGAGGTTGAGCGTCGCTTAGAAGAAAATGAAAAAGAAAATCGTGAGAGATTGTTACGCGAACGTGATTCTTTAATGGAAAAACGACGTGATAAGGAAATGCAAATTCAGGCACTTCGCCGTCAAAAAGCTATTGAGCAATCGGTTATTTTTTTTTTAATTTTTTGGAATTTTCTTAAATTTTAAAATTTTCAGGCGGAGGAGAAAACTAAACATTTCCAAAGACTTGCATGTTTTATTCAGACACAAACTAAACCTCCACTTTTCTTTTTGCCGTCAAAACATACTTTGAGAACTTTGGAATTACTTAAAGATTCTTCTAAGAAAATTGAAAGTTTGTTGATTCTTTTTTAATTTGGACTATATGCAAAAAGTGCCGGGAACGCTTTTTATCCTTGTCCGGCTCGGATGTTTGTTTATTTTTGCCTCAAGGAAAAGGGCTGAAAGAAGAAAGTATTACATTATGGCGTTATTTTCCATTCCTGGGAAGTAGGAAAATACGATCCCGGCACTCCTCGCTTATAGTGTCGATTCAAGTTTTAGATTATAAAATTTTTCAAATTTTAAGCATTGATTGAACTTCGTCGTGAAGAAATGGATCGTGAACTTAAACGTTTGGGAACATATATAATTGGCGGCAATGGAGTTGTGATGAAACAAGAAATTGAAGAGGATTCTGATGATGAGAATTCAAAACAAAGAAATGGGGGAAGTGGACATCCATTAAAATCAACAATTGTTGTTAAAAAAGAACAGCAACAGATTGATGAAAATGAAGTCAATATTGGTCCAATAATTGTTTCAAGTGCAAATCGTGAAAATAATAAAAATATGGAAGGGGAAGGAGGAGAGGAGGAAACTCCCCTTCAACCAACAAAAAGTGTTGTGATTGATGGTGATGAGGAGGAGGGTAATAATGATAATATTGAAGATAATAATAATAATGTTATTGATGATGTTGCTGTTAATACTGATAGAAATGGAGGTTTGTTAATTTTTTAGCTTGGCCCTACTTGTCAATATCTCCATCCCCCATTCATATAACCGTATTTTTGACTATTTTCTGTTTAAATATTTTTTAAAAAATTCTTTAAATATGCCTAATATTATAGATAATGACAATGCATTTGAAGGCCAAGACGAGTCTGGTGGGAATATTTAAAAATAGTAAGTGTGTGTTTAAGATTTTTTGGGGTTTAAGAAAGGTAAGTATTTAGAGTTTTTTTTGAATGTTTTGAGGGGAGGGGTGGGTTGATGAGAATTATATTTAAGTAAGTATACGCACATATATTTTCCTTTTTTGTTCAATTCATTTTTAAATATATCCACATTTTTTGCAACATTTGAATAAATTTGTTTTTTTACGAGAATTTTATGTTTAATTAAAATAATTGTATTTAATTTACAATTAAAAAAATTTTTTTTAAATATTTTTCTTTCAATATATAAAATTCCCTTCAATTTTCTTAAAACTAATAAAATCTTTAGTCTTTTTCTCCTAGTCAATCTATCAAGTTTTTTTTATTTCTTTTCGATTTTTTATTATTTTACGAGATACTTGCCTTGGCTTTTTTTATTCAATTTATGTTAAACCTCCCTAAAAGATCAATATACAGTGCTGGAAAGAAAAGATAGGGCCAAAAGTTGTTAGAGTACTTTTTATCAATTATCTTTTTTCAACTACCTTTTAGAAAAAAGTTTCAAAACAAAAATTGTAGATCTTTAAATTCTCTTTAAAATGAGCATATTTTTACTAAAAATTTTTCAACAATACTGCACAATTTTTGTGTGGAAAAAAAGGGATTTTTAAATTTTTTATTAGTTGGCTCTCTCTATCTTTCCGGCACTTTAATATATTTTTCTTTAAATTTTTCTCTTAATTTTTAACACAGATTTTCTAAAGTTTTATCAGTTCAATAAATTAAAAAATGAATGATTCTGACAGTGATCGACATAAACAAATTAGTGTTAGAGGAATTGCACAAGTTGAAAATGTTGCTAACATCAAAAAAACATTTAATCGTCATTTGCATTTTTCAATGATCAAGGACAGAAATGTTTCGACACCTAGAGATTATTATTTTGGTAAAAATTATTTTGGATTTTCTATTTTTTAAATTAAACTTTAAAAGCACTTGCTCATACTGTTCGTGATCACTTGGTAAGTCGATGGATTCGAACACAACAGCATTATTATGAAAAGGATCCAAAGGTTTCTTTTTATTTTTTTGAAATTGTTTAACTTGAAATTTAAGCGTGTCTATTACCTTTCGTTGGAATTTTATATGGGAAGAACTTTGTCAAATACAATGCTAAATTTGGGAATGCAAGCAACTGTTGATGAAGCTTTGTATCAAGTTTGTATTTAAATAATTTACCGATCTTTAATGGGAGTTTCTGGAAATCCACTAAATTTAATAAAATAATCCGGTTTCTATTTTTTTAAGCTTGGTTTAAATATCGAAGAATTACAAGAAATTGAAGAAGATGCAGGTTTAGGAAATGGAGGTCTTGGACGTTTGGCTGCTTGTTTTCTTGATTCAATGGCGACATTAGGAATTCCTGCATATGGTTATGGATTGCGTTATGAATATGGGATATTTAAACAATTAATCAAAGATGGATGGCAGGTTTGGCGATAAATAATTTTATTTAATAAAATAATACGGTGCTTTTTTGATATCCGCCCCTTGCTTTGAGTATCAGTTCTTTCCTTCTTTTTTTTTGATTATATTTGGTCAAACAATAACATTTATTTTTTATGACTCATTTATAAATGATAGGCATTAGGAAGGAAAGTGTAATTGACATATGATTTAAACGAGGACGAGGGCGGCATATCCAAAAAATACCACTAGTTGAGTTTGTAATGGGTCCTGTCCTTTATTGTATTTTACAGGACTTATTAACCTTCCCTTTGTTTTTCCGAAAATTGTTTCTCTTGCAGTAATGTCTTTAATCCAAAAAACTTAGGTTGAAGAACCAGATGATTGGCTTCGTTTTGGAAATCCTTGGGAAAAGGCTCGTCCAGAATATATGCTTCCAGTTAATTTTTATGGAAAAGTTGAAAAAGATTCTTCTGGAAAGGTTTTTTCTTTTATTTAAATGAAAATTTTAGGTTTTCGTTTAGAGTCATTGGCGTGACACTCATCTCGTTTTTGCTATGCCTTATGATACACCTGTTCCTGGATTTCGCAATAATGTTGTCAATACTCTTCGTCTTTGGTCTGCAAAAGCTGAAAATCATTTTCATTTGCAATTTTGTTTGTTTTTTCTGTGCTTCCAATTAATTTGAAATTTTTTTAGTTAATGATGGTGAATATATACAAGCAGTTATGGATCGAAATGTTTCAGAAAATATAACGCGTGTTTTATATCCGAATGATAATATTTTTGTTGGGAAAGAATTAAGATTAAAACAACAATATTTTTTGGTTGCTGCTACTTTACAAGACATTATTAGACGATTTAAATCAAGTCAATATGGAAATAGAAATCCTATACGTGTTGAATTCGATTCTTTTCCTGACAAGGTCATTTTTAATTTTTGGTTTGTGGGAAGTTTTAATAATTTAATTTTGATTCGTAATTTCGATTTTTGTTGGGGATTTATTTCGATTTTCGGAAATTTTTTAGTCTCGAAACAGTTCCTGAGCCGTCAACAAGTTACTATATTAGGCCGAAGACTGTATTATTCAAATATTCGATTTTGAGCTCAAACATTATTCAAATTTTTTTGTCAATTGTCTAGAATAATTATAAATTTAAAGGTAGCAATTCAATTAAATGACACACATCCATCTATTGGCATACCTGAACTGGTTCGTCTTCTTGTTGATGTTGAAGGATTGGATTTTGATCATGCTTGGGATATTTGTATTAAAACATTTGCTTACACAAATCATACTTTATTGCCTGAAGCTTTGGAACGTTGGCCGGTAGAAAATTCTCTTTTTAAAAAAGGGGGAGGGTCCAAAAAGTACCCAAATTTTCAATAACTATATTTTTAGGTTTCGATGTTAGAACATTTGTTGCCACGCCATTTGGAGGTTTTTTTGTAATTTTTTTTTAAATTATAAAAAAGAATTTTAGATTATTTATTTGATTAATCAACAATTTATGGAGCAAATTGCAAAAAAATATCCTGGAGATGTTGATAGAATGCGTAGAATGTCTATTGTCGAAGAACCTGATCAATTCAATGGGGAAAAAAGAATTAATATGGCACATTTATGTATTGTTGGTTCTCATTGTACAAATGGTGTTGCTGAATTACATTCAAGTTTATTGAAAAGCCAAACGTAAATTTTTATAAAAAATTTTTGGGGATGAGACAACCCTTGCATGTCTTAATTTTCTTTAAGAAACTCTCATTGGTTTTGGTTAAATTTTTCGAGTTGTGCCAAAATTATAGACTCACAAACTTGTATAATAATTAGTTTGATTCCTCGGGGAGGGCTTATTGTTAGCTAGGGGGTCGATTTCAGAGGGCTACGCCCTTTTCCCTGTATCTATATCATGGCTGTTCCAGTTTCGCCTTTTGCGGAATTTCGCTTTTTTGGACTTTCGTATTCACTTCTTGAGTCACTTTTGGCACATTCCTGACCCTTATTAATTATCACCTTTATTAATTCTAGTTTTCGTGATTTTTACGACTTCTTCCCCAATCGTTTTCAAAATAAAACAAATGGAATAACACCACGTCGTTGGCTTCTTTTATGCAATCCTTCACTTGCTGATCTTATTTGTGATGTATTCTTTAAAAAAATTCTAAATTAAAAAAATTTTTTTAGAAAATTAGTGATGAATATATTTATGATTTATACAAGCTTAAACAGCTGGAAAAATTTTCAACTAATATTGGATTTTTGGATGCAATTGCACGGATTAAAAGAGTTTATTTTTTACACAAACTTAATTTTTATGTTTTAAAGGATAATAAATTACGTGTTGCACAATTTATTAAAGAACAATTTGATATTGATATTAATCCTGCAAGTTCGTAAAGTTTTTTAAAAATACTTTTGGTTTTAATTTTCTGACCATGATCGAATTAAGAGGAGTCACTTTAGTCTCAGGACGGAATTCTGCAAACCCCCACTTATATAGTTTTGCGCCGGTCTCTACTGGAACTTGATTGGAACTTGACTTTAACAAAATATTTTAATATTATTTAAAGGTATGTATGATATTCATGTAAAGCGTATTCATGAATATAAACGTCAATTGCTAAATATATTGCATGTAATCACTTTATATAATCGAATAAAGGCCGATCCAAATGATGATGAAATTGTTCCAAGAACTGTTATGTTTGGTGGAAAGGTTGGTTTTTTGAAAAGAATTATTTTGATTTTTTCTAATTTTTTCTAATAAATAAATTTCATAATAAAAAATATTTTTTAAAGGCAGCCCCAGGTTATCATATGGCTAAACAAATTATTAAATTGATTAATGCTGTTGCTTCTGTTGTTAATTGTGATCCTATTGTAGGGGATAAATTGAAGGTTTTTTTAATTTCTGAAATGTATTGCAAACATGCCCACATTTTTTATTTCCTTTATCCAGCTTCCTTTTTATAATAGTAAAGATGAGAAAGTGCCAAAAAATTTTTTTTAATTATTTAAAATTTTTAAAGGTAGTCTTTTTGGAAAATTATCGTGTTTCAATGGCTGAAAAAATAATTCCAGCCGCTGATTTGTCTGAACAGATTTCTACAGCTGGGACAGAAGCTTCTGGTACCGGAAATATGAAATTTATGTTAAATGGTGCTTTAACTATTGGAACTTTGGATGGAGCTAATGTTGAAATGGCTGAGGAAATGGGTGAAGAAAATATTTTTATTTTTGGAATGCGTGTGGAAGAAGTTGCTGCTTTGGAGAAGAAAGGGTGTGGTTATTTTTTTATTTATTTTGTCGTTTCATAAAAAAAGTTTGCTCTACAAATTTTTATTGAATTTTTTGTTAATTTTCAAAAGCTGTGAAATTTCTTTAAATTTGAGATTTTTTGCTTTGGTATTCGTATCATATGCTCGAAGAGCCAAAACTCTCAGTGTACCTAACCAAAAAATTTTAAATTTTGTGATCTATTAGAAAACATTAAAGAATTTTTATCCAAAATTTCAAAGCTTTTGAACATCTATTTACAAAAAATTGTATAACATTTTTTTATAAAATGAACTTTTTTAAGAAACGAAAAGTTTGTTAATTGAATAATTTTTATTATATTTAGTTATAAATCTACTGATTTTATTGAACAAAATATAGAATTACTTCAATGTGTTGAACAAATTGAGGCTGGATATTTTACTCCAGATCAACCAGATGCACTTAAAGATGTTGCTAATTCTCTTCGTTTTTATGATCGTTTTCATGTTTGTGCTGATTATGCTGACTATATTCGTTGTCAAGAAAAAGTTTCAGAGACATATAAGGTTTAGAAATTAATTTTTGTAAAATTTATATTCCTATAGTCAAGAGGTAGGATTTCTATTGACCCTTCTCCCAAAAGTTTAACTCCAAATATTTGGACGTTTAAAGAGTTATCAAGATCAATACATTGTCTTGTTCTCTATTCTCTTTAGTTTTATCTGACAGTTGTACAAGAGATTTCTTTTGTTGATTTCCGCTTTAATACCTACAAAATTTTTTATTTGCACAAATCCTTTATCCGCCCAAATATTTCTAGGTGTTGAGTTGATCCCAGCCAGAAGAGATAATATCTCCAATTAGAAAAATTTTCTTTTTAGAATCAAGACAAATGGTTAAAAATGTGTTTATTTAACATATCTTCAAGTGGGAAATTTAGTACGGATAGAACAATAAAAGAATATGCAAATGATATTTGGAATGTTGAGCCTGGGACTGTTCAATTACCACCGCCATATGAAACTGAAGATGCTCGTATTCCTCCTTCAGATGGATTTTGAGAAGTTTAGTTAGATTTTTAAGAAGAAATTTTTTTAATTAGTTAAAGTACCTATTATTATTGTAAACTTAAAAATATTATTATATTAGACCGGCAAACAAAAATTCTTAACTACTGCAGTAAATTTATAGTTTTTTAAAAAATGTTTCGTTACTCATGCACAGCAGATTAAAATGGGCAAAGGCTGTTAATGATATTTGGAATGTGTACTGAAGATGAAACTGAGGCTTATTTTCTTTCTTTTTTTTCCTTTTAGAGGCTTATTTGGTTTGTGCGCCCATTTTGAAGCAAACAAAAAATAGGCTTATATCTCGGTCCATATGAATTTCTCAGACTAGATATAGTGATACCGTTCGTTCAGACAAGAAATAGACCGAAAAGAAAAATTGAGTCTGTACTGAAACAGCTAAAACTAACAAGCTGATCTGCTGTGCTCATGCTTATAGAAATTATTATTTTTTGAATAAATTTTTAAAAAATAAAAATCGATTAGTGTTGATTTTATCGACTGATAACAATTAGCGTCGATCAAAACTACTCCCTATTCTTTTCGATTTAAAGAAAAATTTTGTCCTGGGTCTAGACATATGACCATGACTGTATCAGCTACTAACAATAAACCTTTTAAACTTCGAAAACTTTTAAGACATTTTTAGTTTAAAATAATACATAGTAATTATTGACAGAATGGATGGAGATCAACAAAAATAAAAATCTAGTAGTATCATCAATTATTTCCAAAAAAAATTTCTTTATTTACACCTCCTTGTCTATGCTGCTTACCAAATTTTTTTCTATTTAAGGTAAAGCCCAAGGAAATCCTGATATTTTGTTAAATCCTCTCTTTTTTGAAAGTTTTCTCCAAAAATTAATTTTTTGCATTAAATATAAAGGATTTTTCTCTTTTCTTAATCCACTTTTGATTATGCGAATAAATTCAATTGTTTTATTTTTAGATGAAAGAGAAGGCCAATCTACGCCAGGAGGAGAATTGGGAATTCTAAAAAATTAAAAACAAATTTTGTTAAATTGGCAGCTCTGGTATAGGAAATGAGTTTTATGAACTGACAAATAAATATTGAAATTTAACTAGTTATAATTCATTTTTTAAAATAGCCAAAATTTACTTAAATAATCTAACAGAAAATTATCTCCCATTTAATTAGAAAAATATCTAAATAATATCCATCCATTTACAACAGACGCATAGTCCACTACCAGAGCCCAATGAGTATCTAGGGCATCCTGACTCAACTGAGTCCCGACCAACTGAGTAAATGATTACAATATACCAAAAAATTAAAATCCCCGACTGATCGATAAAGTTTTGAAAAATCACATTTTTTTTAAAATTTTATTTTTAGATCACAACTTCCTTATTAACCAGAAATGAATTGGTATATTGTTTCTTAAAGTCTGTATCCAGAACATTAAGAAGTTACCATTCCTTCAAAAGTTATAAAGCCGGAACTCAATTGTTCTGCTTATATTTAAATAAAAAAAATTTACCCATTTTTTACAAAACTTCCATAAGCATACAATAACAAAGCTTGCACTTTTCTATCATCCTCATTATCTAACAAATAATTACCAAAAAGTGTTGGACCTAATAAATAAGGATATTCTCCTGCATGTACAACACCTCTAAATGGAAGTTTGGAAATATGCTCTTTATTTACATGATCAAATTGATAAAGAAATACAGGCCAATTATTAGCAGCCTTTAAACGTGCTTCTGCCAAAATTGGTATAACAAATTGAACATCGCTTAATAACTTTAAAAATAAAATTTAAAAATTGTGGTAATTTTGGAGTGGAGTTAACTGGGCACGAGCAGACTTTGATTGATTATAACTTTTTAAGTTCTGATCTAAACTTTATATTATATAAGTGAAAGCTCTGACAAGCGGCATCTTTCTCCAAAAGAATGGATCAAGTTTGATCACGCATTAAAAAGTTACCCGAGAGTGATCAGATTAAATCTATTCAGTTGGAAAAAAGATTATCGAAAGCTTTCAAATAATATAAAATTTATTCGGATTGGATCAAGAAAAAAAAGTTGTAGTCGATCAAAGTCTGCTAGGGTTACCCATTCCAGTACCATTGTATATTGTTCCAAAAAATATCTCCAATCCTCTTTGCCAATATTCTTCTTTTGATATTCCAAATAAAAAGATTCCAATTCCTTGGCTATTTGTTCTGCTTCTTCTTCGGTTGCTTTTCCTCTTTCACGATGGATATAATTATGGATAAAATTGATCAGTTTGGAGCGATCAAATTGAGTAAAATTAACAATAGATAAGGGCGAATTCAAAGCAAAAACGGAGGAGGGATATTGAATAGCTAGAGGAAAAAACGTGAATATTTAGTTAATGTTCAAAATAAATAAATTTGAATTAGAGCACAGACTGAGATGGCCCTACGAGATTCTCAAGCGAGATCTAAACTCATTCCGGGCTCTAATTTGAATAATCTAAAACTTACAAAGAAACATTGACTCGTGTGAAGTAAATCCTATCATTGTAGGCTTTTTAGATGCTGTCTCCAATGCAGCTTTAATGTCATGAGGAACGAAATCATTGTCAAATCTTGGATTGTAAACGTTCATTGCAAACTTGTTTCGAACCAGTTCCTTAAAGAATAATTTTTGAGAGTGATTTTGTGAAAGAGGATGGAAGGAGAAACGCGGAAGGGCAAAAGAATGGAATTGTGCGGAAGGCTGAAGGAGAAGAGGACAAAAAACATTATATAAAAGCCGTTTTTATTTCTTACGAATTTCGATTCCCCGGACTTACTTTTTTCACAACAAAATATTTTAATTCTGTTGGCTACATAATGTTTATTTTTCTGTTGCTTCAAGGTATACAATATTTTTTAAAATTTTCTTCTATCCAAAAATTTATCTTTTACAGATGCAAATTTTCAATTTATCCCGCTTTTGGTCATTTTGTTCTGGTCTACATTGGCAATAAGTATTCTTCCCGTTTGTTGCAAAAAATCAAAAAAGTCTTCGAAAACGAATAAATTGGCAAATGGAAATAGTGCAAAAGTAGGGGAAAGTAGATGCTTCTAATTTCTAATTTGTTTTTTATTTTTCAGGCATCTTCTGACAGCAAAATGAACAAAAGGAAGAAAAAATCGGGAAAGAAAGAGGACAAACCAAAAACAGAAAATGACAAACAAAAGCAAACTTTTTCACAAGTACAAAAATTGAAGACAACATCAAAGAGTACAGTGGGCACTTGTAAGCCTGATAATAAGACTACTACGGGAGAGAAAAAGAATGTTAAAGAAGATGAGGAGGACAAGTCTAAAGAGAAGAAGGAAAGAAAAAACTCTGAATTAAAAACTGCAAAAAGCTTCAAAACTTGCAGCAAATCAGAACTTAGCATGCCAAGCGAAGACATGATGAGCAAACATGAAGAAATTGTTGAGATTGTTGACGTTAATTTCATCATTTCAAGCAAGAATCTCAAACCTCCAAAAGGCCAAACTTCACTTAGTGTCTTCAATCAAATTAGAAAGAATGCAGCTCAACATTTGATGGAAGATATGTCATCATTACATGCTTATGATCAAGTTCCATTAATCGATCAAATGAGAATGCCCAAAAAAGGAAAAGGTCCAAAGAATGAATTAAAAATTAATTTATATTTTTCTTCAATTTAAGATCCAATACTAAAAGAAACAGAAAATACTCTTTATGTTTGTGATGAAGCTGATACAAAAACAACAGCAGCGTCAACATCAACTGAACCAGATTTGCCTAATATAATAGATTCGGGACCCGTAAGACGATGGAATAATATTGGTGGAAAAAATAGAAGGACGAAATATTGAGAGAGAGGTGTGAAAATAAATAAAGATTTTTGAGAGATAATTATGTAAATATACATATTATTGTTAGTTGTAGTAAAATATTTTTCTTTGTTATTTTTAAAAAGAAAATTCGGTACTTTTCCGTTTCTGCAAACTTTTTCAGTTAGAAATTCATTTGGTTGTAAATACCACAGTCACAGGTGTTCCGAATAATAGAGTGGTACCATTCGCTTACATTAACAAAACGAATTGAAATATATATAAATCGAAAGAACCGGCACAGGTTAGTGTACAGTCAAAAAATCTATGGGCATAAACGGAAAAGTACCGAAATTTAAAAAAATCCCTACAAGTTTCTGGATTCCTTCCACCAAATCTTCTACATCAATCTGTTTTAAACATTCTTCCTCGGCCCCATTTGTCGGACAACCAACACTTTTCAAAGTCTTCTTTGATGATTCTAAAACTCCCTCATTTAAAGCCCAAGGTGAAAAGAGGGATCCACTTTGTTGGATTGATTGGTGGAATAAATCTATTTAAAAATCTCGATTAGTTATTTAAAAAATAAATTTAAAACAAAACCTCTTGTATATTTCGAAATGGAAAGTATCGAGGTAGAGGCAGATCCAGCACTCTGCCCCCAAACAGTCACACGATTTGGATCACCACCAAATGTTGCAACATTTTGACGGATCCATAAAAGAGCTTGATGTTGATCCCAAAGACCGAGATTTCCAGGATTCTTTCTTGTTCCGTCAGAGAAAAATCCTTTAAAGTAAAGGAAAATTTTTAATCTACTTAGGTTGGAACATAAATAATGAGCCCCTTTGAGCTAAACAAATTAGTAAATAAATTAATAAAATTCAAGAAAAATTCATCAGCCGCTTTTAAATTATTTTTCATTATGATACTAAGGGAGTTGCCTATTTTCTGATAAAAAATAAGAATCATAAAAATGATTTGTCAAGATTTGGAGGTAAAATACAAAATTTGTATTTTTTGAAACTAGAACTTTTCTCTACTTAATTAAAATGTAAAATTGAAAAATAATAGATTCTGATAAAGCAGAATATAAAGAACAATATGATACATATAAAAAATTACACTGAAAATTTTTTTGAATTTCTATTAGCTCATTCTTAAAAGGATCATTTTTGGCAACGATGCCAGACTCGTTTTCGTGAATAATGGCAAATAAATTTGAATACCTAGAAAATTGAGTCTATACTGAATTGTGATAACTATAATGCCTTGAGAGACAAAATTGTTTGCAATATTATTGTAGCCCTAAATAAAAGTATTTAAATTTGTTTAACCCAAAAAATAACCTCAAGGAAAGTACCTCCAACACAAAATCCTCCTCCATGAATAAAAACAAGAATTGGTAATTTGTGTTGTTCAGGTGTGTTTGGTACTGTTCTTTTTTTATTTTCAATAGTTGGTCTAAATAAATTTAAATAAAGACAATCTTCTGAATAATCTGGAGCAGCTAAAATATGTTGAGGAACACAAGCTGGTGGAATTGTTGTTGCTATATTTAATTGATATAAGAGAAGACTAGGTAACTTTTTGGATACATATCAATCTAAGTTTTCCTTAAGATATCATAATTGTCAGAGTTCCTTCATTATTAATGCCTTTCATTTGAATAGGCCAAAGGGAAATGGAGTGAATATTGAGAGCGTTTTCTCAACCCGTTCCACCCCTGTCACTCACTACTATTATTAACCAAATGAAAATAAAATAATCCAACTAACCATCCAAAGTTCCATTCCAATTTTTTGGAGGTAAAGGTTTCTCCAAACGAAGCTTTTCAATTGGAGGCTGAGCAAAAGGAATTCCAAGAAATATATCGGCTAAACGATATCTTGTCTGTTGTGACAACAAAGATGGAGGTTCCAATTGAATCCGAAATCCTCTAAGTTGGCCATTTTTTGTTTGAATATCAACACTTGGAAATTCATTATTTTCATCTTCATTAACTTGTTCTTCTACATTTTCTTCAAAATTATCCTTTTTGATAAAAGTTGGCTAAACAAAAAATTATTTTTCAATTAAAAAAATCCAATTTAATTTTACCTTTGTTAAAATAAATGTAAACAATAGTAAAAAAGAAAATAGAAAAAACGTCCAAAATAGTGTAATTGCCATATAAATAATTTGTACCTAAAAATGAAAAAAAAAGAATTGAAAAAAGAAAATAAATTAAAAAAATTGTTTAGGAGGTTTAAATTGGAAGGGAGAACAATTTAACAGCGAAAACTTCCCTCTTACCTATTTTAACATTTTTAGTTTCGCGCAATAAATACAACAAAGTAAAATTTAAAATAATTTAAACAATAATTTTATATAACAAAAAATATTTATAGTACACACTATAATTTTTTTATAAAGCAGAAACTATAACCAAATTTCTTTAAATTTTCTTTTGACAAAAATTAATTTTATACCCTCAATTTGACCTTGAAATTCATCATTTTTTTCATTTTTACAGACCATAATTTTATTAAAATTTACTAACCTTTTCCGTTCATTATTGTTACAATTAAACATATAATAAAGTGTAAATAAAGTAGTTTCGTGACCGGACAATCCGTCAGTGGACAATCCGGCAGTGGAAAATCCGTCAGTGGACAATCCGTCAGTGGTCGGACAATCGGTCAGTGGACAATCCGTCAGTGAGCAAATTAGTAATTCCTACCCATACCCAAACTATCGAGGCCAAAAATTTTTATTTTATCATGTGGGGGATTATAAGAGATATCGAAAATATGGAGATTAATGAGGAAATCGGCAGATTTAGCTGGATTAAAAGCAATTCAGTGGGCAATGTGGTTGAATTACGCGAATGTCGATGGCTTTAGATGGATATCGCGAATTTGGATGAATTAGATTTACGTGATTAACGTGTGGCATTATTGTAGGATTTGGGTAAATATCGTTTGATTATGGAATTCGATGAAGAAGAGAGATTGTTTTTAGATGAATATCAATGAACAATAACCAAATTCTCTTAACCTGCCTATATCCCTTGATATCCTCCTTTATCCACGAAATCCATCTTAATCTCCCAAATTCCTCGATAACCATCATGATACTAGAAATCTTTTATATTCCCCTTAATCCCACAATATCTTTGAAGTCCCCGATGACTCGTAAATCCACAGATATGCTTTTAATCCAGCTAAATCTGCAAAAAGTAGAATTAGTAGAATAGTAGAATAAAAAGTAAATTCCCGAAAAAATTTTTTTAAAGAAAAAAAATATTTCACTTAGTTGTCGTTCGAACCCACGACCACTTAACACTGAAAATTAAAAATTTTCCCACTACACCAGAATTTTCCCACTACACAGAGAGGGAATTATGAATTAGTTCACTGACGGATTGTCCACTGACCGATTGTCCGACCACTGACGCATTGTCCACTGACGGATTTACCACTGCCGGATTGTCCACTGACGGATTGTCCGGGAGCCAGTAGTTTGTATGTTGTTTAAAATAATAAATTGAAACAAAATTTAAAAAAAGAAGAAAAAGAAGTAATAAAATACCACACACACACATGTAGTAGAATTTAAGAATAAAAAAATTCAATCTAAATTATAAAAGTAATTAAATTTAAACATAAATATTGGCTGATAAATTACAAATATTATTAAAAACAAGATTAATATTATTAAATAACTTTATAAACTTAAAAAATTGAAAAAATTTTGAAAAATGGCTCTTATCCAGATTACGCGTCCAATCAACTTTAAATGTTCAATGAAAAGCTTTGCGTCCAAACAAAATTTTTTTTATAATTGATGATCGGAAGCATAAATGGACAAATAAAATTTTGATTGGACGCAAACTTGGCATAGAACGTGTAAAGCAGGGTCGCACCGACCCGATTCACAAACCCGAAAATCGTGAATTCCCGACGATTTTTGGCTCGTGAATTCGGGAATTTGGTCGAAAATCGCGAATTTGGTTCTGTCAGCGAATCGCTGGTGTTGACTGGACGCGTAATTTGAACAAGAGCCAAAAAACTATTTCCAAAAATCAATCTATATTCAAACCTCCTCCACTTCCACCAACTATACTATCCATTGGTTGTTCATCTTCATCATTATTATTTTCCATCAAGTCTTCTTCCTCTTCCTCCTCCATTTCTTTACTAAGAATTGAAGCAAAATAATTGTGTTCTTCAGAATCTATAATATCAACATCATCAGTAATTAATGCAGAAATATATGGATTATGATCTTCGAAAGGCAACAGAACTTTAAAAAATAATCAGTAATTTTCTAATAATAAAAATAAATTAACTGTGACAATAAGGAGGAATCCTCTTAAAAACATAAGAACGTTCTGTATCCCGTAATTTGAGTTGTTCTTCACTAATAAGTAAATCTTGCAATGTTGAAGCACTTGTAGTCTTAAATAAAGTTTATAATTAAAATAATATATCAACGTCAAATTTCAAAATTCTGTTCTTTGAGTCAATGGTTTGTTTTTTTTGGATCTGTTTTAGTAAAGCAGAATTGGTCTATACTAGCTATCTCTCATCTGACTAGTGCAAAAGGTTATTCAGTGGCTGGCAGCAAACCAGCATCTCAGTTGACTAATGTAACACCACGCCGCATGCTGAACAGCCTTAGGAATTAAATAGCTAAAGCTTTACATATTCATTAAATTCAATGTATTCCCGCAAAATCTATTATAGGAAAAGAAAGCTTTACTCATAAAGAGTATAATGCGGTGGTGCGTATTTACCGGTGTAAACTTAAAAAAAGCATTTTGAAACTTGACTTATTTTTACCAATGTTTCAGTCTTTTTGCCAACAGAATTATTAGTTAATTTCAGAATATTTTTCTGTTGGTTATCATCATCCTCTAGTTCCATTTCTGTCGAGTCTGTTTTTTGTCGTTTTTGAACACTTTCTGGATCACCACCATTTCCATTCTCCAAAAACAAAATATCATCGTCTTGTTCTCCATTACAAATTTTTTGTTCATTTTGTTGTTTAAGTAAATCTTGTTCCTTTTGCTTTTGAAAAAAAATCCTTTTAAATTAAAAATCTTTTTATTTACCACATCTTTAGACTCAAATTGTAGTCTCATTGACAATTCTTGAAATACACAAATACTTGGGTAAACGGAAAGAGCATAATTTATCAAACTTTTTTCTGTGTCCCTCCTATTTGCTGCTGTTAAACAACGAACTTTTTCATAAGTATTGTCGATATCATCTTTGACCTAACATTAAAAATTAAATTAAACAAAAATATATTAAAAATTACCTCTGTGTGAATATATGTGTGTGGATCTGGAAAAGGAGGCAAAAAATTTGGAAAATATGAAGGATGTGGACGTGGATCAGAAATACGTAGTAATGGAGGAGATTTTACTGGCGATTGAGATTTAGCTGAAAAATTAGTTTGTTTTGTTAACAACATATTCGAGCAAAACAAGTTTATTCAAAAAAACCTGTAAATTGAGGAGGCGGTTTTGCTTTTTTAATTGACTGTAGAAACTCTGGGAATTTCTGCACATCAATTCCCGAACTTATAATTGCCATAAAAGCATCTCCAGGAGTGATAATTGAACGTCCAGTGTGCTCACAAAGTTCTCTACCAGAGCCGCAAATTTGCGTTAAATCTTAAATTTAAATTGATCAAAATTAATTTAAAAAATATTTTTACATTTATGTGCCAAAGCAGTCAATACATCCAAAGCACTTGATTGAATACTAGTAAAGCCAGAAATTTGACAAATTGCTGCAATTGATTGACTCAAAATTCGTTTATGTACACAATTAACTGTGTTGTTATGTGTAGGGGAAGTTTGACTTGAATTTGAAGTACTTTGCCGTGTTTGGCTTCCATTTTCTATATCCAAATTATTTATATTTCCAACCATCAAAAATTTAATTTCTAAAAATTGTTTAGTAAATATTTAATTAAAAAAAGTATTTGTTAAAAACAAGTGTATAATTAATTAATAGAACAGAAAAAGAAAAGTTTAATGACTAACAAACAAAAATAAATTTTCTAATAAAAACAAAAAAAAACGAAAAGTCGGGAATTTTGAACTTTATATGACCCATTTATGTTTCCCCGTTAAATCTAACTCTACTGACCCAGCGTTATGGTACACACGCACAGCACCGGCCCAAAGGTTTAAAATATAGAAATGGATACTTGCTGCCATAGAATTGATGAAAAAATAAAAAGGGGGTCAAACAAAGCCCAAAATTCCAAAAAAACTTTAATTAAAGACAAGTTGTTTATTGTTAATAGGATTATTTAAGCCCTCCTGTCTGCTTGTTTGAGTGGATAATGTGTTTGAAAGTCCATTTCTTTTAATAAATGAATGGCAACATTCCAATGCGTAAAAATCAGAATTTTGAACTAAAAATAATTTTAAAAGTTTTGAATTTAAAAATAAAAATAACCAGCTTTTAATTGCCACAATTCAATAAATTCAATACAAAATTTTTCTAAGCTTTTCAAATTAACTTTGTGTATTCTTTGTTTTCTTGGCTTGTTTGGACGAATCAAAACATCCTTCTGAGAATTATTTATTTTTCTAGGTGGTGCCCATATCCAAATCAAATTTTGAAAAATAAAAGGAGGCTGGAAAAAAGTTAATTTTGATTTAATCAAAATTTTTGGCTATTGTACAGATTCCAATCAACCTTTAGACGTCCAATGAATTTTTATGCGTCTAATCTATGGTAACAAGTACCCGATTCCTCGTGTCTACCCACCCAGAGATATTGCCACAGATTTAAAACATAAAAATATGATTAATCGCATAAAAATTTGTTTGGATGCGTGATCTGGATAAGAGCCAAATTTTATCTAGTAAAATGAAAAAACCTTTCTTTCCTGTTCAACAATTTTAAAAACTTTTCTTTCCTCATTTTCTTCTATCATCTCTTCCAATTTTTCATCGTCCAATCTTTCATTTTCCAATTTTTCCGCATTTTTTAATTTTCTTTCAATCATTTCAGCTTTTCTTTTTGCCTTCAATTCTTTTGTAAGTTCTGGAACAGAAAAGAAAACATTCTCCAATAATAAAGAAAACTGATTGAAAAATTCGAGACAATTCTAATTTTAAATAATTTAAAGTTAAAGAATAAAAGAAACCTTTTCTTTTTCAACTGCTTCTTTAAATGGAAGAATAAATGATGTACCAAAAATTGTAAACTAAATTAAAAAATAATTTTTAATCTAAAAATCGAAAATTAGGTACTTGTGGGGGAAAATACCCAATAGAGCTCTAGCTAGAATCTGGATCCAGAGTCAGAATAAAGGCATTTTTTAAAGTTTTTTTTTATTTTTCCTTGACTCAAAGTCGAAAATTTTGTCAAGTTCTAACCAAAAATTAAGGTTTTTTCAAAATTTTCTATCTCTAGAAATACCCATTAACAAATAAAGATATCCCCAACCTTTTTAGCAAAAATATTAGCTTCCTCAATATATCCAGTCTTCATCATAGCAATAACCAAATATGCAATAAAATCGCTCGCACTTAACAAAGTTTTGGATTCATGCCACAAAGAAGCTTAATTAAAAAAATAAAAAAATTCAAAATTTTCAAAATAAAACCGATATTTTGTCTCAATTTGTATCCTTCAAAATTTTGTAATGAAAATTCGATAAGAGATAAAATGCCAAAAGTAGATTGTGTATTGTCTACAAACATTTTCCAAACATTTTGTGCATGGAAAAATTTACTAGAATTACTAAAATTTAGAAAAATCAAAATATTATCGGAAACTCGTATATTTATAAATAAAATTAATTTAGACTTTATAAACCCCCATTTTCCTCACAAAGTTTTTTTCCTATTAATGGTCAATATAAAAACATAAGTAATGGTCAACCTTTCTTTTCCTCGTTCCAACAAAATAAAAATTAAAACTTTTTGATTTTTCTTAATAAAGGAAAAAAATAGGAGTTGAAAACTAAAAATTGAAACAAGGAAAAAAACTTGGGGAGAAAAAGTGGAAGTCCATAAATTCCAATTTTACCCAAAAATTTTCTAATTTTTTTTAAATTATTAAAAAAACCCTTTTTCCAAATTTTCATTAATTGCATTTTCAACAGCCAGTTTCATTTGCCAAAAAGGAAATCCTTCTTGCTGTAAATCTTCAATTGATGTTCTATTTAAAATTGAATTATTGTTGATTAAATTAAAGTTTTGTTTTTGATTATTTTGTTTGGTAATTGAAGAAATATTTCTTTGAAAAGATAATTGGCAGGCAAATTTGGGAAAGTTTTTGAAGAAATTAAATTGAAGTAATTTTGTAGTTTTTACTAACATTTTAAAAGCAAACTAAAATAAAAAGGAAAATTTCTTTTAAAATCCGGCTAAACTCTAAATTATTCTGCTTTGAATCTCCTACTCTGAATCGACCTTTTCCTCTCACTATTTGCAATATTGGCAAAATGTAAGATTTAGCCTTATTGGTAAAATATGGATTGGTAAATGTAGCGCTTTCTTCATTGGAGTCGTCAAAAGACAATCGGACAGATGGAAACTGGACAAAAAGTTACCTAGAATACGAATAAAGTTTGTGCATTAATCAAAAATTTTATTTTAATTTATGTAACTAGTTGTGAAATTTTATTTTTTAAGATCTCCCTTTCTTTTTTTAGTTAATTTACAAATGATTCTTCGTTATTTTATTCGACAAAATTTAAAACTTCAACTTTGCTCAACAAGGAATTATGTGCCTGAATATAATAAAAGGAAAACTGGTTGGATTTTGAGGAAGGCAAAGTTTGTTAAAAAAATTACTTTCTTTTTTAAATTAAAAAATATTTTTATTTTCAGTGGATATTTGGCTCGTCATCCAAACTTTTTTAATGTAATTTTAATTAATTAAAGCGAAATTTTTTTTTCAATTTTTAGAATTTTATAGTTTATGGATTTACAGGTTTTATGGCTGGTTATTGGTTTTATAACAGTTATCAAGAAAAGAAAATAAAGAAAACAATGACAGAAGAAGAATATATAATGTATAGAGAAAAGAAAAAAGCGCTTAATGAACAAAGAATGAAATATGGTTTTTATTTTTTTGGAGAATATTTTTTAAATTTAAGGGGTAAAAACTTGCTTTTGAGGACCCAGTCTCCGATATTGTCTATTTATATGTCAAAGTTTGTATCTCGACCTTAGTTGAGACCGCTGACCGATTTTGATGTCGTTCGACTCAGCTCACCGAGCCTTTCGAAATATTTGACCATATCGAATTCAGGGTCCTCAAAGCAAGTTTTCCCCAATTAAAAATCATCAAAAATTGCCCTCTTATTTAAATTTTAAAAGAAATTTTTTAATTTAGGTACGGATCTCTACATTCCTTTTCTTACCAAAAAAGTTGAAAATGAAAGGATAGACGAGATTTACTACAAAAGTTGAAAAATTGTTGTTTGTTTGTTTTAAATAAAAAAATTTCAAAACTTTAAAATAAAGCAATAGGTCAGTCAAAACTTAATAATTAAAGCAAAATGTAATGAATTTATGCTCGAGAAAAAAAATTCGAGAAAAACTTCCGTTTGTAAAAAACGGAAAGACAAAAATGCGGAAATGGAAAAAACCCATTCTTGTTGCCGTATATGCTAAAATAATTAACCAGAGTAATTATTGGTTCAACCTCGCACTGGAGGGAGTAATTAACAGGGAGGGGGTAATTATTTGAGAGAGGGCAATTATTTTAGCATTTAAGGTATTTACGTATAGTTAAATTTTCTATTAAAAAGAAACGTAAAATATTAATTTGTTTCTTTTAATTTAATGTTGTCCCATTGAAGTTTCGACAGATAAAAAATTTGGTCCTCTTTGTAAAGTTACATTACCTTGAGCTATAATTAAAAAATAGTCACTTTCAAATTATCAATCTAATTGTAAGACTATTGGTTTCGAGTTTTTACTCAAAAATTTTCTTGGGGGTCTTTTAGTTTTTTAATCCAGTTTTGGATCTGGTCTTGGAAAAATTTTGATTCTTGGACAGCTCTATAAATAATTTTAAACTAAATACCACTAGTAAATATAATATTTGGAGTATTTGGAATTGGAATATTAATTGGTTGGGGTTGTTGTTGTGCTAAAGCTTCAGAAATTGCTGAATTTGTTTGTTGTAATTGTTGTTGAGCAGTTGCAATTGGATTATTTAATTTATTCATTGCATCAGAAAAATTATCTTCAAAAAATAATTTTTTTTTAATTTAAGGAAAAACCTCTTTTTCGTCTCAGTTTTGGTTTCTCTAAACTTTTTTTATCTTCTTTTGATCCACTATTTTCTTTAGATACTTCAACATTAGTTTTGTCAGTTGAAGCTGCCGAATTTGCTATTTTGAAAAGGAAAATTATATTTTTTTGTTGGATTGTTTGGCACAAAAAACATACAAGGGATCATCGTTTACTGTGAGTACAAATTTGATATATTTTTTGGTACCATTCGATAAACCACTCGCTCAAATAAGGGAAAATAAAAAAAGATTTCTTTCGATTTTTCTATTAATACAAAGTACGAGAAGTTCGAGTTAAATTTTGCCTCGTACTCGAATCACCTCTATTTCTGACCTCGTACTTCGTACAAAAGTACAAGTATGAATTTTGGTACGGGCTTATAAATACTGTAGAGGAGTATTTATAATACTCTCCCTCACAGTAAACTATGGTCACCTGTCAGGGAGATCAAAACCAAAAGAATGTGTTAATCCCTTTAAGTCTTTAGAACTCGCATTTTTATTTTTTAGAAAAATTTTTTTCATTACCTCCACCAAAATCTTCTTCCACATAGTTTGAATTACGTTGAACGGCATAAATTAATAATCTAGTTGGAATTTTGTCCGGAAGTTTTTGTGTATTATCAACTTGTTTTTTATCTTCCAAAACATTCGGAATATTATTTTTACTCCCTTCAATTTTTTCATTATCATCCCTTTCCTCGATTGATTGAGAAGAAGAATCAGAACCATCAGTTAAAATAGACCTTTCTTGTTTTTCAACATGTTCGGTTGAATCTTTCGAGATAATTTTATTTGTCTCATTTGGATTTTGTGTTGAGACATTAAAATTTATTGTTGTATTTGTTGTCATTTCTGATGAAGTTTGAGGAATTAATGTTGTTATATTTAAAAATGAAGGGGTGGAAGTGTTGGAGACAGAAGAAACTGTAGTATTAATGTTGTTATCATCATCAGCTAGAATAGGCTAAAAAGGCTTTAAACATTAAAATTGAGATATTACCCCTCCTGTTGTCGAATTTAGTTCAACATCCAGTAAAGTCAGATTTTTCATCACTGGATTTTCACCACTAGTAGTCACATTATCTCCATTATTAGTTGGCAACTAATTTAATAAACAAATTTTTTAAATAAAAGAAATAAATAATTAACTGTTGTGACCACATTTGGTATTGTGGTAGTTGCGGGTGGATCATCAGTAGTGGATGTTGAAGAGTAATCTATTTATGAAAAATTATTAAATATAATTCTAAAATTAACCTGTTTGTGAATAATTAATTTTCCAAAATATTGGCAAGAGTAAAAATATTAAAAATAAATTTGGCATTTTCTTCGTTCAAATCGCTGAAAATAATTTAATTAAAAATTATTAATTTCAATTTTTAATTATTTTCTATTAATCCTGACAGAAATTTATTTTTCCATCTTTTTATTCACATTTTTAACAACCTTGAATTCATATGCCAATAAATATTTTTCCTTTTTTTGTGTTCATTTTTCCAATAGAGATTGGTGCAAATCCTCTTATAAATATTATCCATTATTTATCCTCTTTTAAAAAATTCTGTTTAAATACTTTATTTCCTCTCAATTTTTCAACTTGTTTTCATTCACGCAATTTTTTCCATTATAATAAAAACAATGTTATTTCGGCGCAGAAATGCAAGTAAAGCAAAAATATCGAGTATCTGCGTCGAAATAGGTTGACAAGTTAAGCGCTAAAATTTTGGGCAAGAGGAGATAATCAGTTCGCGCATAAAATTTTATTAAAGTCTTATTTAATATTTACAATTGAGGGAACAAAATTTGGACAATAGAAATGTCAATGAAAAAATAAAATTATTTTTGTCTGACTTAAAGGTCCTCTGACGTGATTTTTAAATTTTCCGGATATCCGAAAAAAGAATGATGCTAAAATGGTGGGAGTAGGCTATAACTTAATTCAAATAACGCAACGAAGGGGCAAAATTTAACGCAAATAAAAATGGACAAAAAATTTTTTTAGCAGGTTTTAGCAATTTTCCATGAAGAATCACTAAATACCAGCAAATACCGTATCGATTATACTACATACTAGCGGAGTTGGTCGGCCTTCGGCCGCCCCACCCCGCTAGCAAAAACAAAACAAACCAAAAAACAAACTCCAAATCACAACCTCAAAATTGGCCCTAATCCAATCATAATCAGAAAAACCCGATAGTCAAAACATTGGCCAGCATTAAAACAATACCTTATTACCAAAACATTTAACAAAGCAAAGCATCTAATAGGCGCACCTGATAGGGTACACACAGGCGCTCGTGTGACTCCGCTAGCATAACAAAACAATTCAACTCAAGATCCGATTCAAAAGCCTTTGGCCGGCCCATCTCGCTTACCCATTTTTTCTCCTCACAATTTCGCCTGCTTCACAATTCCCTCTGTTTCAATATTCCGCCTACTTCTCAATTCCCATTGTCTCACAATACCGCCTGCTCTACAATTCTCCGCTTCACATCACCCTTCATTCTCCTGCTTCAATATTCCGCCTGCTTCACAATTCCCCTGTTTCAATATTTCTCCTGCTTTACAATTCATCTTGTTTCAATATTCCGTCTGCTTTACAATTCCCCTTGCCTCTCACAATACCGCCTACTTCACAATTGCACCTGTTTTAATATTCGACCTGCGTTACAATTTCCCTGCTTAAATATTCCACCTGCTTCACAATTCCCCCTTCTTCAATATTCCGCCTGTCTCACAATTCCCGGTTTCAATATTCGACTGAAATTTGACGCCTAGCACTTCAAATGAACGTTGACGCCTGGCGCTTCAAATGAACGTTGACGTCTAGCACTTGCCACATGAACGTTGACGTCTAGCACTTAACAAATGAACGTTGACGCCTACCCCTTAACAAATGAACGTTGACGCCTGGCACTTCAGGTGACGTTGACAGCTAGCGCTTGACACATGAACGTTGACGTCTAGCACTTGACAAATGAACGCTGACGCCTGGCACTTCAAGTGACGTTGACAGCTAGCACTTGACACATGAACGTTGAACGTCTAGCACTTGACACATGAACGTTGACGCCTGGCACTTGACAAATGAACGTTGACGCCTGGCACTTCAAGTGACGTTGAACGTCTAGCACTTGACACGTGAACGTTGACGTCTAGCACTTGACAAATGAACGCTGACGCCTGGCACTTCAAGTGACGTTGACATCTAGCACTTGACAAATGAACGTTGACGTCTAACACTTGACACATGAATGTTGACGCCTGGCACTTGACAAATGAACGTTGACGCCTGCACTTCAAGTGACGTTGACAGATAGCACTTGACACATGAACGTTGACGTCTAGCACTTGACAAATGAACGTTGACGCCCAGCACTCAAGAGGACACAGGACCCCAGCAAAGGTTGACGTAGAACAGAGCGCAGTAAAGTTGAAAATGTGTTGGTATCAGTTGAGGACTGACCAAAATACCCTGCTTTTATACTATCTGCTTACCCTCACAACTTTTTTCAACAGGCAACACTTTACTATAAAAACCCCCATTTTCTCACTCCCCCAAATCACTTTACTATAAAAGCCCACTTGTCTATAAAAGGACAGACAAACGGACAAACTCTTCTCAATTATATAATTAGATAGTATAATGGTTTGAATGGATAATGACTTGGAGTGATATCATGAATATAAGGGATAAGGTGTCGGTACATCGGGGTGCTGTAGCCCCAAAATTTTGGCGACACATCATTTTAGATCACGTCCTGAAATCGACACCCTGGCTACGCCCTTGACCCCAAATAGATCTAATAATTTTTCTAACCTTGTATCAAATCAAAGTTGTTCTTGTATTTAATTTCAAAAAATAAAACAACAAACTGAAAATTCAATTAATTTAAATTTATAACTTCCTTTCTTCTTTTTCCTTTTTAAAAATAAGTGTATTATTATCAAGCCTTGAAAGTACTGTAGATAATTCTCTTGGTGACCTTGTATTTGAACAACGATAAAAATGTGCTATTCGATTAAGTGCAAATCTAAAATGACCAAAATCCCTTCCTCTATGCCTTTTTCTATCCAAAATAAATTTCCATAACCATTCAAGTTTATCTAATTGTTCAGTCTTTCCTTAATTTAAATAAATTAAAAATAATAATTTTAAAAAACCATAAATTAAAGCCAAAGTCTCATAGAGCATTGCAAGAAGAGGAAGACTTCTATTTATAAAATCAGGCATATCCACAAGTGGTTCAACTATGGTTGGCTAAAAAGTATACCAATTTATTGACTCTGGTTTAGGACAAGCATCCCATGAGAATAGATAATACATGTCCTAAATCAGGGATGTTGCGGGTGCAGAAAAAACTCGGGGTTAGGGTCGGGTTCTCAGAATTTTCTTCGAATCGGGTATTGGATCTGAAAAAGTCCGAGTCGGGGTTGGGGCCAAGTCTTGAAAAATTTCTTGGATCGGTTTTTGAGCCTTGAGTTGAAAAAATTCCAGATTTCGGTAACCTGTAACATCCTCGTCCTAATCCCATACCCATTTTTAGTCTAAAAAATAATTTTAAACAAACATTTTTCGTTGAAATAGCTATCCGACAAATATATTCAATGTGATTGCTGTTTAATTCGACTTTATTAATCTAAAATTAATAAAAACCAAAAATTAAAAAAATATTTTAAAAAACCTTCAAATAATCAAAGAATTTTACTGCCTGATTATCAGACATAAGAACAGCCCCAACAAAGCTACAACGTTTTGTTAAAGACAAATCTTCAATACAATCAAGAACTAGAAACAATTTTTATTTAATTTTAAAAGTTAAAAAAACCAGAATTTATCCTCTCAATTAACAAATTATCGTTCTCCTTTTTATTTATTCCTTCAAAATAGAACTCTTGCAGAATTGAAAATAAAGAATTTATAAAAACATTTTTGTATTTATTCAAATTTTTGTCATCCAAAATTGTTTGATTATAAATAGATAAATAATTTGAATATTTCTTTGTTGCTGTTGAACTAAAAAATTAAAAAGTTTGTTTTTTTAATTTCTTTTTCGGCAATACTTCGATTTACGGCCTACTTTTTTCTAGCACGGATTCAGCCTCAGAATTTTGTTCACAATCAGATCAACAAACCTAACCGACCTTGGAATCATTCGACCCAACTCGAAGAGCTGTGTCGAATGATTATAATTAAAGCTAGGATTTTTAGGCACTAAAAAACTGGCAAAATGAGAACCAAAATCAGAAAAAATAGGCAAGAGCCGCAAAAACAAGTAGGGAAGTAAGTACCCACTTTTTATTCCCTTTCCTCCCCCTCCCTTTATCATTCCAAACAAAATAAAATAACTAACCTTATATTAACATAATTAACACAATTTTCTAATTGTTTAAATTTTTCTTTTTTATTATTTTCAATTTCCAAATTTTGTTGCTGTAAATTTGAAGAATTATTTGTTGAAAATAATTTAGATATAAATTGGGAATAAATAAATAAATTTAAATTATTATTAAATCGAAGTAAATTGTTGTTGAAAAATAATTGTTTTGTATTTTTAAATATTAAATTCATTTTTATATAAAAAATTAAAATAAGAATAAAAAATTAAGACAGAAAATTATTTAAAAGAATTATACGAATTATAGTAGGCGCAGAAAATTAATTTCCCAGTAGGTGATTGTGATTCTGATCTCGTTCTACGAATTATTTCCAGACGTTGGGCTAAATTCGGATTGGGACTTGTGTGTGCCCAGAATTAAAGACTCAATTGTCCTTTTTCCTTTTTAAAGGACAATTGACCACTGGATAATTTGACAACTGAACATTGGACAATTGCACAGGTGGTTAATTGGGTTTAGTGCAACTTTTGTTCTACACTTTTTACCTTAAAAGTCAAAATTTGAATTTGAATTATTATTTATGTCTTTCGATTATTTTTCTATTAAACTACTAAATATTTAAAGACCAGATGTTTTTTTAATTTATTACAATTACTCCTATGAATGTTTTAAACAAAAGCAATTAGAAGAAATCATTTTCATTTACTATTTATTACCCTTAAACATGCTAGAATTAAACTTTGTACTTGATTATTTATTTTTTCCTTCCTTTTATTTTCAATTTAATTATTTATTTAGAAATTATTTCTTTAAATTGCTTTAAATAAAAAATATGGATATTGAAGAATATGTAAAGAATTTGGTAAATAAAGGTGAATAAATATTCTTTTTAAAGTTTCTTTGGAAAAATTCCTTTTTTTTCGTCCTGGTAAAGCTTTGTTCTTAATTTTGATTGAGAAAATTGATTAGATTATTGACCTCAAGTGATTTTTTCTGAATCCAGAGAAGAGCAAGGCGTTTTTCTGTTAAAGATGCTTTGAAATTCGAAAGCGTTAATCTTGACTCTGGCTCCCGGGAAAATCAAAGCCTGGATTTTGGCCGATAACTAAAAATTAATTTCTTTTTTAGAAATTGAACAAAAAATTGAACAACTTAAAGAAGAAATTCGTTCTGGTAAATTATTTACTTTACAACCTCCAACATCGAATACAACTTCAAATGAGAATACTTCGACTGATGTTTCTGAGCCAAAACAAAATAATTTTAATGAAGGTCGTCCATCGAGTACTGTGTAAGTTTTAAATTTAAAAAGTTTATTTTTCTCGCCTTTTTTCACCTCTCCTAAGTTTAGTGTACAAATGTTACCCGCAGCTGCGGGTAACATTTCCAGAGTAACAACCCAGAGCTCGGTGTTAGCGTTACTCCTTTTCGGGATAAGGGTTCTGGGTTAACCTACTCTCGAGCATAACTTTTGTATTAATCAATCGAGTAATTTGATTTTTTGGTATATTGTAGTGTATTTAATGCTCTATCCATTAGTACCAAGAACATAAAGAAATGACCATCCCTTCGTAAGTTATAGAGTCCAGGACTCAATTGAGTTGTACTCTCCTCCTCCTTGGTTAATCTTATGGCAGCAGCAAATAAAGGGGAATTATGGGAGAAATGTCACATAAATGACAATTTTACCAAAATTTTTTATTTAAAACCGTTAATTCCTTTTTAGAAAGCGTTATATTCCTCCAAGTATGCGTCAACGTACTCGTGAAATTGTTGATTTGCAATTAGAGAAAGACAAACTTCGTTATAGTAATAAAGAAAGGATTCCTTCTTTAAATGAATGTTTTTCTCATTTAAATATTTGTGCAATTAATCCAAAAGCTGGCAAATGGAATACTTCAGTTAAAACAACGGCAAAACCTTTACTTACTTCAATTATTCAATATAATTTGGATATTTTTAAAAATGTTGAAGATAAACGGTCTGCTGAGGAATGGTTTAATTTTGCTGAGAAAAAGTGTGAAAATGGAGAATTTTGTTTAAATCCGCTTATTAGTGTCAGAGAGGTAAACAAATATTTTTTTGTAATTTTTTGTTTCCAAAATAGTTTTTATAAAAATAATCCCTATACTTTAATTTAAAATGTGCCAAAAGATAATAATATACTTTTTTTTGAATTTAATTTTTGGTATTTAACCGTTATACCCCCAAAAACTATTCACAATAGTTTACTGTATTCCCATAAAATCTTGTGGGAATACAGAGTTAAAAAAGACCAGCCCTTGGGTTTTAAAATTCAAAGTTGAGTACTTAAGCCATAAAGGCATTTTTTATTTTTTGAGATAAATACCTAATTTTTTTATTTTTAGACTTCGCGTGTTTCCAAGTCTGAGGTTAATCTTTCCAATCGTTTCAAATTTTGATTTTGACAAGAAAGGAGGTTAAGGATAAGAAAGAGGTTTTTAGGAGGTTATTCTTTAATTATAAATTAGGATTTCATTTTAAAATTTTCTATTCCCTTCCATTTTTTGGTCCTTGTGTCGTTTCCCTCCCTCACCCAATTTTTTTAAATGTTCAAGATAGTCAAACTTTTTTCTTCCATAAATTCACTTTATTTTTTATGTAGCATTATTATTCCCTGTAGCTTTTAACATTATTTACATTTTAAAGGAAATCGGGTGAGGGAGGTTGACTTGTTTAAAAATTTTTTTGGTAGAAAACTTGTTGTTTAAATTTTAACGAGAGAAAAAAAGGCATTTTCGGAATAAAAAAATATCTTTTTAATTATCGAAAAAAATTTAGAATATTAATTTAAATATTTTTATGCCAATTCTCTCTCGTTAATGGATTCTTCCTCTGTCTCAATTTGACAAGTTTTTTGTGTCTTTTTTGTAATTAAACATTTAATAAATATTTAAATTGTTTTTTTAGTTTTTTAGAGAGATTATTTCGTGTAAAATATACATTTGTTAATTATTATATAAAAAAAAATATTTTTTTTTAAATAAAAACAGATTTTATATATTAATATTCTGATGAGTTTGACTTGCTACAATTTATTCCCACAATTAAACTATGAATTTATCCAATGTTGTGGAACACCATACTTTCTACAGAGTATACGCCCAACGTTGGATTGTTTTGACTGCTGTGTGTCTTTTAGCTTTGTCTAATGCTACGGTTAGTTATTAACTTTAAAGGGGTCAACATTGAGGATCTGCACCCGAAATGCCGTGAAGCTTTGAAGATTTACAACTTTAGAAAGGGAATATAGATGGATTTGGAGGAATATTTGGGGCGCTCAAGGGAATGGAGAGATCTTTAGGGGCTGACTCAATTTAAATATTAATTTAAAAATTTTTCTTAAGCAATGGATTGCGTTTGCACCACTCCACGATGCTGTGCAGGATTTTTACTGTATTAATTTAATTAATAACAACAGCAGAGGTGAACTTGAGGAAAATGGTAGTGGATGTGATGTTGAAACTTGGATTTCGCAAATTTTCCAAATTGTTGGTGTTTTGACCGGCCTTTTTGGGATGTATATAACTGATCGTTACGGAATTCGTGTTTCGGTATTTTTTATATTTTTTTCCAAATTTATTTTTCTTATTTTTCAGTGTCATTTGGGAGCCGCTCTAAATTTGTGTGGGGCAATTATTCGTTTTATCTCCTCATTGCCATTGCTAGAAAAATCCGCTCGATTACCTTTCCTTTATTTTGGACAAATAATAGCAGCAATGAGCCAACCATTTTTTCTTTGCCTTTCGCCTAAGGTTGCAGAATATTGGTTTGGAGAGGATCAACGTGCATTGGCCAACTCACTTTCATTTATTGGTATAAACATTTTTTGATTATGTTTGTGATTTCCTTTAAAGAGTATCTACATATAATTCATTTCATTTTCTCCTTTAAAGGAAAGAAGGGAAGCAAACATTGGTCAAGGAAATCTATGGCGAAGTACCCGGCTCTGCATTTTAGAACTTATGATCCGATATCGTGCGCGTGTATCATACTTTGTACTACTGTTCGGCAAATGGGTTTTTTCCGGTACCGGTAACAGTAGTACACCGAAAATTCCTAAATCTGAGAGGTACGGTACCGATAGTACAGCTCCGGTGCTGACGGTAGTACCGCAGTGCCGGACACTACTTTGTATTCCCAAAAAATCTAATTGGAGTAGAGAGCTCTATTCACCCAGTTATGGTACACACGCAAATATCGAACCATAAGTTCTATAAAAAGCAGAGCTAGGTACTTATCGCTATAGATTTCCTTGATCCTACATATTAGCCTTCCTTTCTTTAAAGGAGAAAATGGAGGAAGCAAAATAAAGGGAAAATGGGGGAAATAACTAGATAATAATGAACTTAATTTAGCTAATCATTTTGGTGTTTTTCTTGGATCAATCGCCCCTCTAACTTTTAGTTTTCTTTTTGGACAAAAGTCAAGCAGTAGCAATCCACAACAAACAGAATTACTCATTCTCTATGTGGTATAATTTTACAAAATTTTTTGGCTTAAAAAATTCTCATTTTTTAAGAATTTACTTTTGATGATACTTTCTGCATTTACAATGATATTTTGTTTACTTGTCACAAGACAAAAGCCATCAACACCCCCTTCAGCTTCTTCAGATTGTGATAAACCAGAATTTTCTAACGGACTCTTCCTTTTATTTAATTCTCGTACTTTTCTTATTCAAACACTTACTTTTGGAATGGCTTTTGCTCTTCAATGGTTTTTAAAAATTAAAAAAAACTTCAATTTTTATTTTTAAGGTCAATCTTCTTTACTGCTTCCAAACAACTTGTAGTTTTAGGTTTTGACAACAATAAAGTTTTTCTTCTTAATTTTATAATAAAATTTAAATTGTAAGATAAATTCTGGCGACCTTCTAGCTTCTTCTTCTTTTGCTGGCACTCTTTCTACTATTTTTGGTGGTTGGATAGTTGACCGTACTAAAAAATTTAATGAATTTATTAAATGTTCATATATTGGAATTGCCATTACTGCAACTTCATTGAATTTTGTAAGAAATATTCGATGGAGGGTTGGCGAATTCTGGGAAATCTTTTGATATCCGAACAGAAATTTTTGGATATCCTGTCTTTATTTGGATCCGCCAACCTTAATTTGTTGTCAAGAGTATTTTTTTCTCAATTTTTTTCAGTTATTGCGCAATCCTTTAATATTCGATAGAATATTTGTATTAATTGCTTTGTTTATATTTTTTACAATATTGGGAATATTTACTATTCCTGTTTTCCCAATAAGTCTTGAATTAGGAGTAGAAAGTACATTTCCAGTTGCAGAAGCTTCTTCCTCTGGAATACTTGTTATTGCTGGGTTTGTTTTGAAAATTTTGTTTAATAATTGAATAGAGCATTGGAATTGAATTATTTTATTCTTCCCCGGGATGAGGTAATACTTGGGGTCAACGCGCTGGATCAAAACCTTAGGGAGACCCATAGAGGAAAACAACTTCTAGTGATGATCTTTACGACTCCACTTATGTATATTGCTTGAAGAGAATAAATGATAGGAAAGAGTAACTGAGACTAAACTAGGAAGGGGATATCCGTTAAGTACCGAAATTTGATTTCTAGGATAGTTTTATATCAATTTTTACAGACAACTACAACTATTTTTGCTAACTTTTACTATGCAGTCCTTAGAATCTGTCGATTGGATATACGGAGATAAAAGAAATTATAAATGTAAATTTTATATCCTTTTGGAAAAAATCAAACTAAAACTAAAATTTAGTGGCAATTGATTTCTGGACATTGAGTGCAGTATTAGGAGCTATCTTTTCGTTTTTACTTCTACGACCGAGGTTTGAAATTTATTTTGATTCTAAAATTATTTTTTAAGATATAATCGACTGGAATATGAACGAAATGTTAAAATTCAAATTAAGGAAATATAAACATAAAATTTTAACATTCTTTACCTAAATGTATTCAAAAAAACAAAAACAATATTCAGAAAAATATTTAAATATCATGAGGAGTATCTGGAGAACTTACACGCTTTCTTTCAAAAAAATTGCGAACTTTTGGACTTGTAAACCAACTACCAATTGAATAAAGTTTCTGCCCAATAACTCCCCTTTTTTGATTTTGATAATATTCACTATTAGCTACTAATTCGTTGATTAAGTCTGCATCGATATCCAGTTTGCTGTGAATTCTAAAAATTTAAAAATGATTAGTTCTAGAAGCTATCCCCCCATCTATTTATCAGCGTCTTTATCTAAAATATAAACCTGTTTCTGGCCCATGCCATAGAACATACAACAATACCAGCAGCTGCAATATTTACTCCAGCAATGACTGGTAATTTACGCCAAACAGAACGAGTACATTCAAAAGTTTGAGCAAGTAAATCAAAAACACTTCCAGTTGGTAATTTTTGCATTCCAAGTTTTTCGCGATGACTAAGGAACTGTGGATGTATTAAATTATTCTCTATATAGTTATTAACTTACAGCACTATTAGCAATAGGAGGAACAGAAAATAAAGGTATTAACATTCCCATTCCAAGAGATAAAGCAACAGCTCTTCCAGTTAAACTTAAAGTACTAAGTTGTCCTTCATACATTAAATATGGATAAAAAATAAATGTCATTGTAAGCATTTGAGAAATAAATCCAATAGGTGCAACCATAACAAAAGGTGATCTTGCCGGAATTCGACGAAGTGTTTGAAGGAAATTTAATTTTGGATCTATCAAAAAAACATCAGCAGTAATTTTATTTGCTAAAAAAAGTAGAAATTAGTTTAATTCAAAAAGGAGATCAACCCAAAAGGCCAAATCCAAATATTTGGGTGAATAAAGGATTTGGGCGGATTAATATGGATTTGTTGGGATTAAGGGGAATTGAGGTACGTGAACTGTCAGAAAAGGCAAAAGGAAACAGGCCAACTTATTCTTGATCTTGAGTCCCCCTTATCGGCCCAATATTTGGATGATCTTCTGGACATTTGATCGGCAGAGACTTGACCTTCTGGGTTCGACCGTTAAAAATAAAAATGTTTAACTAATGTAAAAAGCAGACAAAGCATTTGTAATACAAATCACAGATTTTGTCCAAATAACAGCTCTTCGTTCCCAATCGTCTGGCCAAGCCAAAATTAATTTCCAAAAATAATCGGTTCTTTGTCTTGAGTCAATTTGGTTGGCAGACATCCAAAATCTACTTCTAACAGGAGGTGGAGGTTGTTGATAACTAATTTAGAAAATTTTTTAATTAGAAAATGTGCCCTAATTTAAAAATTAAAAAAACCTTTCTTCCACTTCATCATTCCTTTTAATTGGCAGTGTTGTTGATGTTCTCCATAATTCCAAAGGATCTGTATTTTTCCAAGACATTTCTGCTATCAGATTTTAAAACAAAAATACTAATTAAGTTATAAAAATAAAGTCTAAGAAAAAAACTTAAAATTACAAAATAATTAAAAATTGTTATCTTTTTTATCTAAAAATTGGATGTTATGCATATTAAAATATTATGCAAAAGTCTTCTTTTTTAAAGATTATTGTTTCAAAAAATTTTTTACAAAGAAAAAACTTTTGCCAAATAAAGCAATGTCTAAATTTTTAATTTTATAACCGGAAAGTTTTTAAATTATTTTGGAGTCGAAGAAATTCGGGCATTGCCAAATGATTTTCTTACAAATTTAAAAGCAAAAAGCAAACTTTTCGGTTATAATTAAAAACAAAAATTCAACTATTAAAAAGATCATTTCATTCAAATTTGTTACAAACAATTAAAGCATCTCTACTCTTTCCAACACCAATAAATTCAATTGGCACTTTAACATTTTGTTCGATAAAAGTAAGATAATCTCTACATTCCTGTGGCAATTGATCAAAAGTTCTAGCTTTTGAAGTGTCAGACATCCAACCAGGAAATATTTTATATTCAACTTTGATTTTGTGCCAATCATTTATTGTTGCTGAAGAAAAGAATTTAAAGTTGGAATATTTTAGAATAAAGAAAAACCTGGAGGATGTAAAATCTCAACTCCATCCAAACTATAAGCAATTCCGACTTGTATTTGTTCAAATGTATCCAAAACATCCACTTTTGTAATTGCCAAACTTTAAAAAAATAATTTTAAAAAATTTATTTTTAATTTATTCCAAACGATGTAAATCCATTAATAATACAAGAATAACGTAATAAAACCAAATCTAGCCATCCACAACGTCTTTTCCTTCCAGTAGTAACACCAAATTCAGCACCAATTTGTTGAAGTTTTTCTCCTTCTTTATTTGCTGTTCCGTCTTTATTTAATAATTCCGTTGGAAAAGGGCCAAAACCAACACGTGTTTGATATGCTTTAGATATACCCACAATACGTGTAATACAAGTTGGAGGAATTCCTAAACCTGTACAAGCACCACCCGCTGTTGAATTGGAAGAAGTAACGAATGGATATGTTCCTAAATTTTAAAGACGAATTAATGGGTGAGGTCATATATGGACGAGATATTGTTATATTGTCCTATTTGAATTGTTATATTTCCCTATTGAAAAAAAGAGCCATGTTTTAGAACCAAGTAAAAAAGCAAGAAGCTATCTTCTCCGCATCAATCCCTATATTCCCGCTCGCCAAAAATATATACCTATTTAAGAAACTAACCAAAATCGATATCTAAAAGAGTCCCATTTGCACCTTCAACAAGTATAGCTCGACCTTCTTGTCTATATTTATGTAATAACATTGTTGTGTTGCAAGCTAATCCAAGCTTTTTTATTTGAGAAGCATGCTCCTAAATATTAAAATTATCTCGATAAAAAATTATTTAAAAAACCTTTAATTTTTGAAGATCAGCATCAACATTAGTGTTTATATTTGAAAATATTTTGGAATAAAATTTAACTTGCTCCCGATATCTTTAATTGAAAATATATTTGAAAATAATCGTAAAGCTGAACTTCGTTCAATTTCTTTCTTCAAAACTTAAAATGTAGCACAAACTTTACTCCATGGCTATAAGTTCTGCTTTTTAGAACTAATGGCAGAACTCTGGGTTAATAGGGCCTTTTTAAACTTTTAAAAACTTTTTGGGAAAAGATCGAACTTATTGAAAATAGAAGTAGTGATAAACACACAAAACGTTGTCATTGTTTCTAAAAACAGAACCGGTACTTATAGCCATAGAGTAATGCTTGTACCGCATTTTAATCCTGACTGTTTTTCAATATTTGGAGGAAAAAAAAGAGAAAAACAAAGTTCAATAAAATAATATTTAAAAAACCTTTTTTCAAAGTTTTGAGAGTCATTTAACAAATCTCCAAGACGAACACCTATCCTAAAGCATTTACTAGAATAAGTAGGGCCTATTCCTCTTTTAGTTGTTCCCAATTTTCTAAAAATAAAATAATTTTTTGGTGAGAATCACCAAGTATTTAAAGAAATTTAAGAATTGTAAATAATTATCTAGTTTACTGGACCCTAGAAAAAATAAGTAGGACGTGCTTTTAGGGTATTCTTGAAAGTTTGGGATCGAGTGAGCTGAGTTGCACCCGAGTATTAATTTGGAATTTGTTAATTTCGATCCTTGGACAGAAATGGACGGAATCTAAACTAATATTAGACTCATGTCAGCACACTCTTTCCAAATGGCAAATCTCAAAAATATCGCCAGAGCACTTCTTGCTTACTTTTTCCCCCGGAGACCATGTAAACTAGACGACTGCCCAGAGTTATATAAAACACAAAAAAACCTAACGCTTTTTCTTCTAACAAAGATTCTTGAAATCCATCAGCCTCAATATGTACAGGAAGTACCAAATGAGCACAATCACTAATAAAAAGCTTCCTGTCCCCTTCATCTTCTCCAGTTCCAAATTTAAACCCATTCTTTTCAATTTCAGAAAATAAGGCATCCAAATTAACGACTACACCATTTCCAATTATATTTACACACTCCTTTGTAGCCATTCCAGAAGGTAAAAGATGGAAATCATATTCATGATTGTTAACGACTACAGTGTGGCCAGCATTGTTTCCTTTAAAAGAAAATAATAATTTTAAAGATTAAATTTAATTTTACCTCCCTGAGAACGAGCAACAATCCCAATCTTATATTTAAAAATTAATTTAAGAGTAAAAAAATGAAAAAAACCTTGTAATGCCCTATTAAATAATCCAAAACCTAAAATTATTTATTTATTGATAAAAATATTTAAAGAATTAATTAACCTTTCCCTTTCCTTCATCACCCCATTGAGCACCAAGTAATAAAGTAACTGACATTGATGTGTTGATTTTTAAAGAATTATTCTTATAAGGGTTGAGCTAATTTTCTGCTTTACTGGTCCTAGAAAAAAATAAAAATACTAACCAGGGTTGCCGCGGGTACAAAAAATCTTCGGATACGGGTTTCGGGTTTGGCAAAAAATTCGGGTTATTTTCGGGTGTTCGGGTATTGGTGAACTAAATTGTAAGGAGATTGTAAGGAAAATTGTAAGGAGAATTTGTAAGAGATTAAAGAGACATTGTGGGATTTGGGGATTAATTGGGATATCTTGGTAAAATCCAATATATTGGTGAAATCCCACCCTGATAAAATCCCATTCTATACTATTATCCCTTCACTTTAACTCCATTAATCCTCCAATTTTCTCCTATTTTCAGCGCTGCAGGCGAAAAATTTGAGAATTTTGTGAGGTCTTAGGAGAAAAAATTCACTTGGCAGAACCGCAGGCAAAAAATTTTGTTGAAGTTTAGTTGGTCATGAAGCCAAAACTCTTAATTTTATGCGCCGCAGGCGAAAATTCTGCAAATTCATGACTAAATTAAAAATTTTTATGCTTTTTCAAGCTTAAAATATTAAAAAAATAAATTTAAAAATCTAAAATGAAAATCAAAGTTTAAAAATATTTATTCTTGAAAAGAAAAATTTTTTAAGCCTCATTGCCAGCCCTGGACTCGAACCCACCCCAATGAAAATATCGAGCCAGTCGCCTTACCCATTGAACTTGAAAAAAAGTTTTGAACAAACAACAATGTTTTGTAAAATTGTGAAACATGTTTTGTTCGACTGTGTTTTGTGTTTTAAAACTTTTCAAGTTGGTTATTTTACAATTACAAAACATTGCTCTTATGTTAGTTAAAAAAAACTTTTTTCAAGTTTATTTTTGCTTTGTAATTGTAAAATTAAAATGAGCTTGAATAAAAATGTTTTAACACTAAAAAACACAATAATGTTTTAGTTAAATGATATAGTTTAACTATAATTTTTGATGATAATACATACAGTCGTCGACATAAAGATAGGGACAAGAGTAATTTAATTGAAAATTAACTATTTTTCAGTCAAAAAATACGTTCTATATATCAATCGAAAGCTCTATTCGTATCTCAGTTGACATGTTTCTGCATTTTTCATGAAATTGAAAATTGGCCGAGATAATCCGGATCTACCGGATATACCAAATCCCATATCCTCGGGAAAATTTTTCTGAAAAAATTTGACAAACCCAGTTGATAAAGCATATTTTTGTGAGTATAATCCACAAAACCGCTTAAAAATATCTTTTTCCAGTCCTGAGATATGATTTTTTGAAAATGGCATTTTTAGCCTATTTTTGCAAAAAATTCAATTTTTAAGGGAAAAATGCCATTTTCAAAAAATCATATCTCAGGACTGGAAAAAGATATTTTTAAGCGGTTTTGTGGATTATACTCACAAAAATATGCTTTATCAACTGGGTTTGTCAAATTTTTTCAGAAAAATTTTCCCGAGGATATGGGATTTGGTATATCCGGTAGATCCGGATTATCTCGGCCAATTTTCAATTTCATGAAAAATGCAGAAACATGTCAACTGAGATACGAATAGAGCTTTCGATTGATATATAGAACGTATTTTTTGACTGAAAAATAGTTAATTTTCAATTAAATTACTCTTGTCCCTATCTTTATGTCGACTACTGTATGCTGCTAAACTAGAAAAATAAACAAAAATAAGTTTAGTGTCCAGTCAGCAATATTTTGTTTATATTCAAAACGTTTAGTGACAAATCTAAAAAAGATTTATAGTTACTAGAGTAAAATTTCGATCGTTGTTCTCTTATATATTTCGTTAATTTTTTTTGAAAATTAAAAAAAAATTTCAAAAAAAACTAGAAATTCTTCACAGGGTTGCCGCGGGTACAAAAAATCTTCGGGTACGGGTTTCGGGTTGGAAAATTTTATTTTCGGGTATCGGGTTTCGGGTACAAAAAAGGCCGGGTTTCAGGTTTCGGGCGGCAACCCTGATACTAACTACGTATAATTTCTGTTAAGAATTGGGCGTAGGTGAGGGTCTAAGACTCTAGTTGCAAGCAAATTTGATATTAAACAATTCCTCTCATCGAGCTAAAGAGTTTGGTACCAAAATTGATAATGGACAGAAATTTTCAAGCTAGTTATGGACTTGCGCCGTTATGGCCGCGCGCCTACTTGGGCGTGTCCCCCCCCCTATTATGCCTTTGATATCCGTTTAATTTCCATAATATCCCCGATATCCGTCCATATCCCATTATATCCTCCAAAGGTCAATAGGCTAACCAAAAAACGTGTTAACCAAGTTTTTTAACCAAAAACGTAGTTCTGATTATTAACCAGAAACAACGTTATTGGTTCCATCCTATTTAGTTAATAAAAACCATAAGTAGGGTCGGGTTTCGTTTTTTCAACCCGAAACCCGACCAATGAAACTTTCCAAAACCCGACCCGAAAACCGACTCCTCAGGGAACATTTCACCTTTCGCAGGGAACTTTTCACCATCTAATCCCTTTATATCTCTCTCTTAATCTCAAATCACTTTTCTGCGCCGCAGACGAAAATTTTGGAAAATTCATGAGTAAAAATTTTTAAAAAATTAAATTTATATATTTAAAATCAAAGTTGGAAAAAATTTATTTTTGGAAGAAAAAACCGCCAAAATCTTATTTCGCAATAACACAACTTCACAGAATATGTATCAAAGTGAGCGAAACCTAACTTCCAAACCACGCAACCACCGATCAACAATAGGGAAACTGAAAGAAAATAAAATATTTTTTTTCCTTTTCCTTAGAAAATCTAATGACTAATTTGTAATTACGAAAGGGGTTTTTTGCAATATTTTTCGTAATTTCTATTTTCGTAATTTGCTTCGGAAGGGAAGGTCGGGGATGGTCTTCGATACGCGAAGGCCGTAGCTATACATACATACATACATAATATTACAAGAGTGTTTTTGGGTTTTTGTTTTTCTGATTTAAAATTCTGTGCAAATTTTTTTTGTTATTTTTTAAAATTTATAATTTTTTTTTTAAATTTATTTTTTTTCTTCTCATTTTATTTTAAGTAAGATGTTATTTCTAAAAATCCAACCATTATAATAGCACAAATTAGTTTTGCAGGTGCCTCTCCCTTCCTCTCTCTCTCCCCAATTTCCTTCCATGTAATACCCTTCCTCCTTTCCTTTCCTATTCAATTTACTTAAATTTATTTAGTTCATTCATCAACTTAGTTTGGCGCATTTTACTTATTTCCTTAATTCAACAATTAGGGCAAGGCACGAACCGGTATTGAGTAAATTGAGGTAAATATAATAGCTGTATAGGAGAAAATAAAATGAGAACAATGAATTGGAAAGGCATGAAATATGGAAGGGTGTAAGGAAGGGGAAAAGGTAAATAATGGAAGAAGCAGGAAAACAATTAATTGTTGAGTAAATAAATATT